AATACACATTATTTATTAATTCATTTTATATATTATCAAAAATTTAATGGTCAATGTCTATAACATGTTTACCCAATATGAATGGATAAGTATTTATGAACAATGCTTACTAAGTGTTATTTGTAAATTTTAATCAGTGTACTGAGAACACTAATATTTAGAACAAAAGATATAATATACATGAAATAACAAGCACACATAAAATACTGTAAGCCATTAATTAAAATTTGTTTGAATTTGACATTTTTTATATAAATTAAAATCATCATTGAATAAAATCAGAAATAAAATTAAGATTCTTAATTTCGGGAGTCCAAAAAATATATGAATGACGTTTCTTCTTCAAAACTATCATTCCTTATTCCTAAAAATCCTTTGCTGTTAATCTATGTTAATTAATAAATATCAGATATATTTGTTATAGTATTCCAGACAGCATATAAGAGGAATTTCTTTTTGTAGTGTTTTTTCCATTATTCAAAAGTGGAAATTATCTTTGGGATTGTAATTTATTAAAAACTATATTCATATGTTAATCGGTCTCAATAAACTAGCAAACAGATTTGCCTTAATATATGATTTTTTATTACTTACTACAGAAAACATGTATCTCTAACTTTGATATTTACTGCATTATTTCTATGTATAACATTTGCTAAGAGGTTTACAATCTAAAAAGGTCAAGGGGATGCAGCTCTTTTTCAATTAAACCAGCATATCCGTCGATTACTAATCTACTCCTGAATCAATTTTATTCTACTTCGTTCCTGTTGTTATTTTTTCCCTTTAAATCTTCATACAAGTGTGAGAGCTGTTTAACATTTCCAAAAATAAAATTTTAAAAATAAAAAAAGCAAATCTCGTAGAAATAGAATATTGAGGACTATAAATGTATGTATGTGTTTATTTTTGATTTTTTTTTATCAGGCTTGTAATTTCCTTGAACTTGTGTGATATATTTAGCTGATCTCGGATATGACCCAGTGATTTCCAATGCAAAAGCTTTGAAGACCACAGTGTTGTGGTCTTACACATTTTCATATCAGCTAGTATAACCAGTTTTATATTTGTATTTTCTCTCTGTGAAACAAAATGTTTTGTATCTTTTCATGTATCACTTAATCGTACTTGTATATTTTTGTTATGTATTAAGATGTAATATTATGAATAACAAACATAACTATTTAATAAGGTTCAAATTCGGGATTTTGTTACTTTTGCCAAATCATGACTAGGTCTACTGGGGATGCTTACTCCTCCATGACACCTGATCTCATCTCTGAGGCTTTCGCTCTGCTCCCGATCCCGATCTATTGAGTATTTTGTTCTAATGGCCCCAAGCTCTTGATGGTTGTTCATTATATCCGAGATTCGATCACAATTCCTTACTTTGAAGTCTCAGAGTTCCCTCCCAAATTTAAAATTATTTAAAGAAGAAAATTATATGCAACATAAAACATTTTACATCTGAAACCAAACTTTCTGATAAATTTGATGACTTGAACTTTTCAATCGTCCAATCCCCTTTCTTGATATGCACAATATACCCTTATTACCTGCATATGGGGTTTATATCTCTCAGTTGATTCGATGCGCAAGAACATACTCTACATATGAACAGTTTCAAAAAAGGGAGATAAGTTACTGACAAACGAATTGATGAAATAAGATATCAACAGTCTCGCTTTAAGTCATCAATTCGAAACATGTATGGTCGATATAATGACCTTGTTAGCAAATAAATCTATCATAAGTCAAATGCCGACTGGCGTTTTTTTAATACTATTTGTTAGGCCATTCTTTACAAACTGATTTTTCGACAGATTTTTTAGCTATCTTCCAGTTATGACAAGAAGCACACTACATGCTACCCAGATTCATGTTTGCCTTACTCCCGATTTAAATATTTATATATATATTTTGTTTAAATGAACTTTTGACCTTGGATACTGTTCGTTATTTCCACATAGTTCATCTAAAATATCCTGCAACTGATGAAAATTAAGTTCTCAGTTGTTATATATTTGAACACTGAATATTTAAATATAGTTACTTTGGACAAAAAGGTCAAGTGCTATTTCTATTTAAACATTTATATTGAATGTAGTTTTAAGTTTTGAATCATTTGTTGTACACCAGATTAATCAATTATGTAATTAAATCAATCGAAAATATTTTGAGATAACTTTCTTTTGAAACTTATTGTAAATCTGTCAATTTCAGCACTTTCTGGTCTAACACAAAAGCATTGACCACAAGTTTCCTTTATGATATTGTAATATATGATAAACAAGGATAATTGAAATGTACTTTTACGGACAAGATCGGCCATCCTACTCTACTGATAAACAAACTCTACAAAGAAAGAAAGAGTTTAAAAATTATAAATCTGGGTAACTGTATTAGTTCACAATGTAATGTTATGATTATAAACATTGTTTCTTTCTTAGTATGGAGTGTCAAAATGTTTCAATTCTTTTTCAAAATTAAAAGTATGTTTTTCATATAAAATTTACTTCTTACACCTATGAATACTACTTTAAATATTCAAGAAAACTGGATTCATTGAATCTACTTAGAATAAACTATTTGTATATCTATTGTATATGCGTAAACATGAAAGCATTTATATTCAACAAAGATTTATGTTATCATCCAAAAACTACATTATAAACAATCACATATTCATATTTATATAACCTATATAAAATTGATAAATGCTTTGTTTGTCGTTTTGTTAATAATATGTACAACAGGGTCATCGACATTTATCAAAAGCTTTATTGTTTCAAAGTGAAAATGGAACTTCGTGATTTAACAGTATGTAAGTAAGATATCTATTTACCAAGAAAGACTGACAATCTTTCTCTCTTCCTTACACAGAATCTTTCTGCACGACTTTATTATGCAGGAAAATCCCTGTGCATCATTTATATTGTTTCTACCTTCTCTGGAAATTTGGAAAAGGGAAATTTATATTTCATTACATGTATATGTATTTATATTACATGTATGTGTCAAAAAAGGAGAAGTGATATCTTTTTATCCTTCCAAGGTTATATTACCATTTGTTTGTAAAGAATTAAGTATATGAACATGCATGTGAATAATAAATGCATTATATGCAAAAGAAATACACCTTGTATATACCTACCTGTACATATAAATAGCTTTTCAATATATACCTCCAAGGAAAGCAGACTATATATCAGATCGATCATCATAAAAAAGGATTTGGGCTTTTTTTCATAAACAAGTACATGTACGACATGATTGACATCGAATTAATAGAGAATGTTGGCAAATTAATTCGTAAAATAATTTTTTTTTTAATTTCCAAGCACAGCTACTCACCTACTGTAGTGACAAGAAGTGTCCAGTTTAAAGAAACTTTGATTCTTTATTATATAAAATACTTACATTGGCTAGGAACATGATTTTGACTAAAATTAAACTTACATGTATTGTTCTTCCGACAATAAAAAATAAGTGAAACAATGAGATAACAATTTTTAAAAAAGCTCAAAAGTCCATTGCACAATGCAAGAAGGTAGCAGAGCAAACATAGACCTCTAAAGATACCAGAGGTGGGATCAAGTGCCATGGAGGAGTGAGCATCCCTTGTCGACCAATCACATACTAGTATTCATATAACCTATATAAAATTGATAAACGGTTTTGTTTGTCGGTTTGTTAATATATGTACGAAACAGGGTCGTCGATATTTATCAAAAGCTTTATTGTTTCAAAGTCAAAATGGAACTCTGTGATATGACAGTATGTAAGTAAGATATCTATTTACCAAGAAAGACATAAAAGCTTTCTCTCTTCCTTACACAGAATCTTTTTGCATGACGTTATTATGCAGGAAAATCCCTGAACATTATTTATCTTCTTTCTTCTTTCTCTGGAAATTAGAAATAAGGGAATTTATGTTTATCTTTTCACATATATGTCAAAACAAATTAGAAATTATATATATTTTTTCATCCTTTCGTGGTAATTACTCCTATATAATGGTAAAAATCAAAGGTGTACGTGAACATTCCTGTTTATAATTTCGGTATTAAAATGAAAAATAGATACGTACAACTGTACCTGTACATATAAATATCTTTTCATTAGGGATGTCAAAATTGTCAATAATTGATATTCGAATATTCGATAGTAGTATTCGAATATATTTGAATATTCGATAAAATAAATACATCTTGCATTATATATGTAATATGTATATATCTTCACTCTTTTGTCAAGCAATACACGTTACATGAAAAGTTTTCATTAATATATTTGTCCAAAATCTTACGTGTGAAAAGAAGAAAACACTTGCTGTGGCATTCAACTCGACATTTAGATACTAAGTATATCGACGACGTATTGTCAATTAACAATGGTAATTTCCATTCCTATGTCGATACGATTATATTGTATATACGAGCTTCAGAAAGAAGATACCACAGAGTCTGACACATCTGTTTCATACTTGGATATTCTACTTGAAGAAGCCCTTAATGGTAATCTAACAACCAAGCTCTATGATAAACGATTAACTTTCCTATCGTCAACTTTCCTGACTTATCCAGCAATATACCTTCATCACCTGCATACGGAGTTTATATATCTCAGTTGATTTGATACGCAAGAGCATGCTCTACTTATGAACAATTTTAAAACGAAATTGAAAAGACAAGTATATTGCAATCTCGTTTAATGTCATCATTTCTTCGTAAGTTCTATGGTCAATACAATGACCTTGTTAGCAAATACAAATTATCATTGAGTCAAATGCTGACTGACGTTTTTCATGCTAATTGTTAGTCCATATTTTATACACTGAATTGACGACGGATTTTCCCGTTATTTCGTGACAAGGAGCACATGGCGGGTGTGACCGGTTGGTAATGGATAGGAAATGCTCACTCCTCCGTGGCACCTGATCCGACCTCTGATGTTTTGGAGGTCCGTGTTTGCTCTGCTCCTATTTCGTGTTGTTTTATGGAATTTGATACTGAATACTGTTTGTTATCTCCATATCCTTCATATATACACCCTTAGGAAAGCAGACTATCAAATCGATCATCATAAAATGATAAATCTTGTTTGGTTTTGGCCATTTTTACATTCTAGTACATGCAGATTGACATCCATCGAGAATGTGCAAAATCAAACATTTTTAATTTTTATCAACATTTGAAAAATAATCCAAGTACAGTTGCTCAGCTTCTGTAGTGACCAAAATATGACCTTAATGTCAAGGTGTGAAGAAACTTGAATCTTTTTCTGAATGAAATCCTGATCATGCCGATATTTGCTAGGAACATGATTTTGACTCAAAATAGACTTTAATCGTTCTTCGGTAAAAAAAAAAAAAATATGGAGGTAATAAAAATCAATCTCAGAAATTCATCAGAGAATACAAATTAATAGCATAGAAAACAAAGACCTATGTATCAGAGATAGGATCAAGTGTCATATGCATGGAGGAGTAAGCATCTCCCGTGTGCCCCAGTTGATATTTGGGGAAACGGATAAATCCGTTGATAATTTTGTATCGGAATATAATATATATATTTATTATATGAATGAATAATTTCCATCTCTCTGATTGGCTGAGATCCAACTATGTTAGAAAAATACTACGTTGTATTGATCTGCACGTGACGTTCTAGGTGAATACAAGGATTTATTTCATCTACATTGATCTAAAAATAGATCGGGAAATTCCAAATTGATACAAATTGTTTTGGAAAACTACTGAACGACTGACTTTTTTTCCTGTGAACGAAACATAAGCGAGTATATATTTTCGGGAGAGGGTGGTAAGATGGGGATGCAAGGACCCCTTCTCCAAAACTTTTACTGAACAACAATTTTTACTTTTTGGCAGTCAGTTTTCCCTGATAATACTCCTTCCTTTCAAAATCTATCATGAAGAAAAGAATGACATTATATTTTTTTTCATGGCAACTAAAAGTGTTAAAAACTTCAAATTGATACGGCTGGCAAGGCGTATTTACATTTTAATTCTGCTTCTCTCTTGTATTTGGCTGGGACTTTATTAGATGCAAACAAGTAATGGGCTTTATCATTTTATTAGTGTATCATATAATAAAACAATTTTTGCTGTTTTTTTATGTCAATACAATGATTTAGCAATCTCCAAAGTACAATATTCACCGAGCTCGAAGGGCGAGGTGAATATTGTACTCTTCAGATGGCTAGATCATTGTGTTGACCTCAAAAAACAGCAATAATTGTATAATATATAATTATCTAAACAATCATAAAATAGTATGGAAAAGGCCAGTCATCATTAAACCTAAGGATAGGTTGTATTTGCTGACAAAGCCATTGTTTCGACCATAGAACTTGCATTGCAAAACGAGATTGTTGATATCCTTGCTTTATCAACTTGTTTGTCCATAGATTGCTTTGTTTACGAAATTGTACGTAACAGTGCTTGTGAATCGAATCCACTGAGAAGCATAAACTCCGTAAGCAGTTGATAAGGTCAAGTACTGCTCTTAATTATATAAACATATGTATAGTTGACGATAGAAAAGTTGACGTCATCAAGATTACCATAAAGTTTTATTGTTAGTTTAACAATAAGTTTTCTAGGAAACTATCAAAAGTGTTTTAGACTCTGTAGTATATTTTATTTAACGTTCACTGGAATGTATCGGTTTGATATCTGAATCCGATTACATGTATTTATTTTTAATTTATAATACGTAGTTGATAATTATTATATAGCTAAATGTCGAGTTGAGGGCAAAAGCAAATGTTTGCTTCCTCTTATGTAGATTTTGAGTAGATTCTTCTTCATTTGAATACCAAAATAGGTCTGCTATAATAAAGGGCGCAATTGGTGCCAATGGGAAGAGTTGGTCTCCAAAAACTACACAGATATTGACAATTCAAAACTCAAAAATATTTTAAATATCCACTTCGGAGAACTTTTGTTCAATTAGAATCTTTTTAACAAAATATTTTTGAAAATGACCAATGACAAGGTACGTAGATTTACGAGTTTTATTTTTATTGAAAAATCAGCTGTCTATGATGTCAAAGGGCCTCATCGTGAGGAACATTTGTATAAAGTGTTCAAAAGTCGTACCGGTATATGCACTTTGATGGCATTTTGGTAAAATAAAGTGCTTTCAAATTTTCTAAAAGTTCCTAGGCATTTTTAAGCACTTAAACCTTATTTACTCCACGTCTCCAATATCTTGTACAGTAACTCACAAAGACTTGACACCCGCTAAGTATTCAACTTCAACATATTCATCAAAAAAATCCCAAATTGTGTTTGAAACTAACTTACATTATCACTTACATTCATCTCACTTTTAAAGAAGGTGCAGCAGTTCACAGAACAAAAAAATAAATACCGTACATTAGCAATGTTTCAAATGGTTGAAAATCTTCAATCATTATGGCCCTGTAATCAAAGATTGGAAGTATATACTATAGTAGTTTTTGTCCTGTCCGTCCGTCTGTCTCTTTTAGATACATGTACTTTTAGATTAGTCCTTGGCAACAGGATCAGGGTATTTTGAGCTTTTTAGTTGCTTTTTACAACAGCATTCCAGTGATTCCACATATCTATAGTACCAATCGAGTGTATAAAAACAATTATGCCTCCTATGAGAAATATCAGCCCGATAGTGCAGTGAAAAACAACCAAACACAGATATGCAGTTTTGTCGAATATGTCATTTAATTCAATGACATGATAGGTAGTTTTTGTCATGTACATGTCCGAAATTTACATGCAGTGAACATATCAGTCTCCTTGGAGGCGTTTGCGCCAGATACATGTACTTTTAGATTAGTCCTTGGCAACAGGATCAGGGTATTTTGAGCTTTTTAGTTGCTTTTTACAACAGCATTCCAGTGATTCCACATATCTATAGTACCAATCGAGTGTATAAAAACAAGCTTTCATAAAAATCTTTTTAATAGTGAGATTCATTGGTATTCTTTTATCATATGCTCTTTAGATTTTCTTATTAATTTTAAATACCATTAATGTCAGTTGAAAAGGTCAGATTGGCTACATGAAATATAGTCAATATTGTTTATAAATTTAGGTTGAGTGATTCAAAATAATTTCTCCCTTTCTTGTCTGAATTATTAATTAATCCTATATAATTTATCTTAATAAAGATATGATAATACAATTTAATAAAATGATTTGGCTAAGCCTTTTCCCGCAAGAATTCATAAATTTAGGTGGTTTCATAAATTTAGGTGATGGATTTGTTATAATAGCATATTTTCGGTTTCTTTATTAGTTTGTACTCTTAATAACGCAGGTAACCATTCAATCCTCCTCGAATACAAACTGGTTGTGGGTTAACCATCTGTACGTCTGTGTTATAAATTTTGGTAATTTTGATTGGAGAGGTATTTTTTAAACTTTACTTTTAACTTGAGTTAGGTGATAACCTTGTACTGTAGATATGTTAAAAGTGTTTCTTGACATAGTAATCATATTTCAAATGTCAAACTAGGTATGAACTCTCAAACTTTTTGTTGGAATAAGGACACACGCGTTTTATGACTATACGAGACAATGTTTCATAAGTCAAGCTCAAGTATTTAACGTCATGAGTAGTAAAAGAACACGCTTCCATTCCAATTCATTCAAATGTTTCAACAATATTTTTTGGGGCATTTGATCGAACAGGTCAATGTATGATTAAAAAGGAAGGGGCTGCAAACTCATTCTATCCTCAGGAATGAAACGGCTTTCCGTGACTTTTCTTTATTGGATATTGCATATTTTATTCATGGATCAGTGATGAAAAGATGACTTTATAAAGTTTTTAAATCTATTTTTAAAACTTCACGGTTGATTATATAACTAAAGGAGTGCAGTTATTTAAGGATAAAAATAGGGTCGGATTTTTTCGTCATGAGTAACTTCGCTACACTTTTTCCTCATTTACATTGGTTGTCTTGCACGTACGGAAGATTCATTGGTTTTCGTCGTACAAATCTTTAAAATTTGATTTTCTAGATTTTCTTTTCCTAGTTTAGCGGGTACACTCATTGTGGGAAACGTTCTTTATTTCCACCCACAACAAGCAATAAACTTACCCGGTACACATTTACCTATACTTTGTAATCCCCATCAAAAGACGGAAACTGTGTCTCGCTACTGAAGTATTTTTCTTTAAAGTTAACATAAACATTGCCCCATTATAAGGTCAATAGAAGTACCAAAGATTTTTATCTATTAGATATGTGATCCCAAGTGTTAAGTAATACATACCCGGTGTGCATTTAAATGAAAAAAGGGACGACCGTTCTGCACTTTTTTCGCTGCTCGTTCACTCATGCGTGGCGGGAATCCGAAAGGTAAAATATTATTTATAAAAAGATACATAATGTCTTTCAACACACCTTACGTCGCTGGATTCGTTAACACGTTGACAATTAGGGCAGATTGGAATTTAGAATACACACCGATCGGTCTTTTTCTTGTGGTGGACAAAATATTGTTTGTGTCTGCGTGACTTTGTAACTGTAAAAAAGGAACTAAGGCTTTACGTATATTGATTTTATTTTCTTAATACCAAGGTTTAGAAGGGATTTTATTTAATACATGAATTAAAGATGGAACTGGACACAAATAAAAGGGTATGTATATATGTTCTGTTGATACTAGTATATGTACGTATATGCACGACCTTACGTACAACAGGGTTTTTAAAGCGAAATGGATTCAAGATATTTAGAGAATATTTAAGTTCAATATCGTAGTTATACATATTTATTTTAAATTTTCAACGAATAACTCAAAATTACACAATAAATTTATATCTTTCTGCATTTTTGTCCAAGGGTTTCACACATATATCTTTGAAGGAAGTTTACATAATATAAGAGAGTGTCAATAAATGTGTAAATTTACCAATTCGCTTGTGTTGCTTTGGAAACATGGTTCGATATTATCATATTCTGTTTCCCTCTCGGAAGTAAAACATTTTGCACTCGTTGTCAATCTGTCTATGATATGATATGATCAAACTTTGATCCCAAACTTCCTCACGCTGTCACAAGCCATCACAGGTTTGCACCAAAATATATACACTGTGCTTAATTACTCATTTCGTTAAATATTAATGATTGGGTTCAATCAGTCTTTATTTACTGAAATATAAGTACTTAGGTATGATGTTACTCAAAATTTCAAGTCATTGGTCCAGAAAGCATGGGCCTCATACCTTTGGTGGTTTAACCAAGCGTGTTATTGACTGGGACAGTCATGGCAAATTAGGTCAAAGGTCCCCTCCAACTATTTATTTTCACTTCAGTTCCCAGACTGGTTGTTTCCCCAGTCTGGCTTTTTAAAGATTTTCTGTTGTTGAAATTTTTTTACTTATGTTTATATTGAACAGATAAAATCGGTTCAATGGTAAGTCTGAAAGGTTTTTTTCTCCCCATTAAGTATACACGATACGTATGGATCGAAATCAAATGTTTTTTTTGTATATAAGAAACAAGCAAGGAGCATAATTTAATAACCATTATAAACAATATTGGTAAAGAATTTGCATACATGCCATAACAATAAACATGTAAAATTGCACATAATAAGATGCAATAAATCTGAAATCAATACCCTAACAGGTCTCCTATAGCTTTTGGCTGTCTATGCTACCCATTGTTTGTACCAAAATATAATATAATACGTCTTCCAACAAAATATATTTTCCTTATCATTCTGTATAAACAGAAAATGTTATTGTTTACTCTAGAATACCGAACTCAAGTTTATACCAAATAATTCACAATGGCAAACAAGAGATTTATGACATGCATAAAACTTCATATCTGTTCTTTTCAGTTTCAAATCACGTATTCACAAATTAAAAAAAAATGATTTGGGTTTGGGTTTTTTTCCTAATCACAAAATTGAAAAGATTTTTTGTGTACCAGTTTAAGTAAGGATAGATGTAAATAGATATATGTATATCTATGTGTATGAACAGGTAGATGGTCATTGACCACAAGAACACAGTGTAAATTAATGCAAAAGGTAGTTGTAATGTGCAAGTAAATAGATGTTTGGATTCATCTTTATGCCTCCGTATTCGAAGATGCGGGGATATTTAGTTTTTGTCCTGTCCGCCTGTCTGTCTGTTTCTCTGTTTGTCCGCAAAAATTAACCTTGTCCATAACTTTTGAGTGGGTTGGGTTATGGCTTTCATATTTCACATGTGTATTACTTGTGACAAGACCTTTCTTTTTGGTCCACCAAACTGACCTCGTGGTTTCATATTTCACAGGTGTATTCCTTGTGACAAGACGTTCTCTTGGATACCAACAAGTTGGACCTTGACCTTAGAGCTTTTTTTTTTGAAATATTTTTTTTTATTTATATTTTTCTCATAATAAACAAAGAGATAGTAGCTGAAACATATTTACATTTATGCCAGACACACACACACACTCACCCTTTCACACTATACACTATCCATCTATACATGTAGATAATATTAAAAGAAAAAAGACAATACATGTAAATTCAATTTGTCACTTTTTCCTCCAACCTTATAACTGTGCATATATTATCCGAATTGTTAAATATATTCTTTTATCCACAATATTAGGATAAAATAAAGATAAAAAAAGAAAAGAAAAAAAAGAAAATAACAATAGTAACTGAAAATTGAACTGTCACTTATCAAAAACAGGTTTCCATGTAGACCATATGGAATTAAAATACATGTAAACAGTTTTATTCTTTTGGATTGAAACAAATTTTTCAACATTATATTTGATTCTTAAATGACATAAGAGTGCACTGAAATTTGGCATTTTCTTCTGCATCAAACAAGTAAAGATATATTGTTTAGTGTATAGTATAATAAAGTTTACAATTCTGTTATTTTTTGACAAAGGAATCTCTCCTAATATTACATTATTAATGTTAAATCCGACCCTTTTTGAAGTAGTTCTATATATATGTTGGCTAAGACTACTCCACAATGCCAAAATATTATTACAAAATAAAAATACATGTTGAATTGTTTCACTTTCATTCTTACATAAGGCACAAGAATCAGTACTTTTAATATTAATCTTTTTAAGATAGTAACCTACAGGAAGAATCTTATGCAGTATTCTAAACTGCAGCCAAATTTAGAGCTTGACCCTTTTAAAAAAGCTGTAACCTAGACCATGACTGTAGAACCGTTAGCATTAGGACTTTCATCTTTCATATTTCACATTTGTATTACTTTGAAATCTTCCATTGGGTACCAATAATTTTGACCGTTTGACAGTAACCTTGGAGTTTAACTTGCATTTGAAAAATTTCAAACCTGGCCATAAGCTGTCATACGGGGGAATCAATGTTTCACAAACACATCTTGTTGGTAATAGAATAACTACTGGAAGAAACTCCTTTCACAACTCTCTTAAAGCTTGGTCTTTTGGACTCTGTGAAACATTGCAAAACCAGCTCGTTTACATTAATTTCTTTTCTGTCAACAATGGGTTGACAATGTAAAACAATTTATGGTAACTCTACAAAATTTATGCTAAGATTTATACATATTTTTCATGCATATATTTTCATGTCCTTCTTTTAAAAATACAGAAACCATTCCACTTAGCTTTTCAAGTGTTGGGTCATTTTGTATGAAAAAGTATATTTCATGCATGTAAAATTATATATTTAATGCTGTCTTTTTGGTGCGGCTTAAAGCTTGGTGCATGTACAGTTATAGTTTTTATCCTATCTTTTAATGAGGTTTGAAGTTTGAAGTGTATTTATCCTTTTTCAAAACTTTTGAAATTTAGAGAAGGGTTTACAAAATCAACGAATACGATCTTCATCTCCTTTTACATATATTATATATATAGTATGCTACGAATGATTAAGTTCTAAAAATTCCATATGGGGTTACCGTTGTAAAAGTTAAGCCAATAGTTAATGTCTTCGCTGCCCTTCAAGATGAGAAAATGGGTCACCAGGGTCTCATGTGATAAAAAAAGATTAAATTTATTTCTATAAGTAATCGTCAGGTAATGGATACACGTAGAAGTTAGTGATGGTCGAGGTAAACTCTCCAGGATCATCTTTTCTTTGAAAGCTTTTCTTTGTTTTCTTTGTTATCCTTTATCCACATTTTTATTATCTTAATCCCCTTCCCGGCCAATTCTTCGTTATTTTCCCTATTGTAATACTTATTTGCTGATTAATGGCTCAGGAATTTTCTCTTTTTCCCTGTATTTTCTTTGTTTGGTATTTCATCTTCAATTATAATGATAATTTGCTTTCTTTTTTTTCTCTCATTCCTTTTCATTTACACTTTTTTCGGACGTTACAAATGCATCCTTTTTTCTTAACTGGATTTTCCCATCTCTTTCATCAATCTTTCACGCTTTCTCATCCGTATAATCTACCGTTTGACGGATTAGGGACTATCATGCGCTTGTGCAATCTACTCTGATTTAAAACGTCTAGGGACTTTGGTGATGTAGGTGTAATATTTACATGGATGTTTCCTGCCTACAAAATTTGTCTTTACTGGAGAAAAAAAAAGTTCATTTGCATAATTGTCACAATGAGTCATAACATTCAGTGTCTGTTTTAAAAGACCACACTGAGTGATTTACAAATAATATACATGTGCCAAGATACACTAAATTATAAAACTTTATTTCATTTTTACATGGTGTATTTTCCAAAAAAGAAATGCCAAGAAAAATTATCTGGTTTTATATCTTTTAAAGTATCTGGTAGGCAATACCAGGTGCCTATTATCTGAATAAAAAGTACGTGTTTATGATTCGATTGACACGTACTGTTGCAATTTACACCTTCTTTACAAAAATGCATATTTGTTTGTTAAAAGACTCTTTTAGAAGAAAATTATATACATTTATGCAAAAATTTACAATGTTACATGAAACAAGAGATTACATAATATTCTAGGTGAATTTTAAAGAGATGTGTTTAAATTTTACGTGACAAAAATAAGATATAGAGGACAGAGGCAAAAAAGGATAAAAAAATAAAATAAAAAGTGGAAGTGTCTTAAAATTATGCAAATCAGTTGCCTTGAGGCATGTTGCACTTCAACAGGTGCAAACCCTTTAAACAAGTGAAAAACCTAATTTCTTGAAGCTCTTTTACTTTTACAAATTAAATAAGTATAAAAGAAAATTTATTAAAATCGTATTGTTTATATGTTTAACTAAATTTTACAACTGATGTAGCTGTGAAACGTAAGATTTTTTTTTTTAATTAATTACAATATTTGATAGAGGTAATAATATCGTGATATGGAAATCAAGAAAAGAAACAGCTCTACATGTCAAATCCCAATCTAATTAAATTAATGAAATTCCTTTGTGTAACTTGCCATCATATATCTTAATCAATGTTAGACTTGATCACGTACAACTTTCTCTCTGGCTAATTAATTGCTGGTTTCGCTGATTGAAATAAAAATGCTATTAATTTCATTTCTGAATTACAAATCACATGATGAGCAGTGTTTTCATATTGGAGAAAGTTCAAATTGCATGACATTATAATATGATGAATTCATGAGGCATGCATGCGCATGTATATTGATATTATGATACATCACTCTAGCTCGTAGACATCTCAATTGATTTTTTCCCCAGAATTAAATGTCTATTCGTGATTCGACAAATTCAAGGATTATCTTTTCTGCCAATAGCTTGCAGCGCAGGAATATTGTTATGCACAACTGAACTCAGTTTGTAATTTCCTTAAACTGGTGGTTAAAATTCGACATTCTTGCGGACTGAAATCATTGGCTTTTGCCGTTTTTATGCCACATGTTGATGTTATTTTTACGGCTAGATGCTTCTTATAAAACCGGTAAACATCCATTTCCTTTAAAGGAAATTTTGATCCTTTCTGTTACGCCCTTGAATGACGGGTAGCATATTTTTTTCCTGAGAAATAATTAAACCCAGTCAATACCATTTTTAACCGAGGAAAATGACGTAAATCTCTCTCTCTTTCTCTCTCGTGTATATACATTTCTCAAAAAAGTCTGAAGCTTATTGGTTTATAAATACGAGTATGTAATTATAGTTTCCTTGATATGTTTATGAAAATGGGCAATTGTTGATTTGTTAACACCGATGTACTCGTGTCTAAGTCCCTTTCATTTCAGCTATTTTCACTCGTGTAGGGGACCCATTTAAAGTACAAATTTCATTGCTTTATAATATGTTTATCTACAAAAAAAAATCTATGTAAGCATTCATTTTATTTCATATAAAATGTTACTAATTTATTCATAGTATCACTAATTAATTACACTACGCCTTAATTGTAAAATGAATGATGCATATTTTTGCAACATTAATTTCATTTATTTGTCAGTCGTACAAATTATTGTTAAAAAAATCTAAGCCAGTCCACTTAATTTACAAAATTGTCACAAAGTTTAGATTTATTTATTAAATTCTATTCTCAATATGAATATGTAACAAAGAAGTTAAAATAGGTAAATGACTGGAAGACCGATAATTTTATGAAATTTTGGGATGACATTTGATAAATTTGACGATGTTTACATCTTACGAGGGTATGTTTACGTTCATTGGTAAATCATCTAAATGAATTTAACAATTTTAACCACTAATGGTAAACAATTATGATTTATTAAAGATATCATTATCAATTTAAATCATATACTAGTATCTAGCATTCCTACAAAACCGCAATTTTTCATGTGTATAAAGCAATTCAAGGAGGTTAATTTCAATTTTCAGTTCTTGATAATTTTAATTTAATGTATCAAAAGCTAATGGCTGTGATGAAGATTAAAATAAAATAATAATATTTAAGAACGCAGAAAAAGGGCTACTTTTATTTTTCGTCATTACGAAAGAAAATTTATTCTTTAACTGAGTTATAATGTTTATTTAGATATTTCAATGAATTGTCTTCTTCTCATTAATCATTTTGACTGATGTATTTAAATCATTTCTAAAAATATTGCGCAAATTAAATGTGATTGTATCTCTTCTACTCCCCCAAAATGTGATATTTCAATTTGACTAAAATCAGTTGTTTGCTAAGTTTCGTTCACATTGTAAGAAATAACAGTTCATGGAACTCTTCGATCATTCTTGAAATAAATTACAAAAATATAGCTCGAACTTAATAGGTGATGCGTGGTGTTGTTTAATTGTAATTTTATAAATTAGAAGATGACCATTTTATTCAAACAATTTTTTTTAATTCTATCACGTTTCAGATACAGGTATATAACTCTTTTAATAATTGAGTGTCCCGTTTTCTGTGAATAACAACGGGGTGTAGACGTACTTTTCATGAGAGTGGTCAAAACTTTTAGGCTTTAATACCAGTTAAACCAGCAAACCCATCACTAGCTCCAGTTGCTCAAGAAGGGGGGGGGGGTAAGAACTCGTCGAATGCTTGCCTCTAAGGTTAACTATATTTACCAGTCACAGACTTGCATGTATTTTAGTTTACATGTACCTGTGTGAATTGTTTTCAACGGACTAGCTGTCATCGTCGGAGTACGTGTACTAGAGTATAGCTCATTGACTAATCTGATCTCTAGTTTTGAGAGGTGTCCCCGAATATACCCTACTTCCCTATTAAAACGTTATTTAGTGTCACACTTTTTTGAATTGTTGACGGTATTCGTTATTTTATGTGTACATATTTTGAACCTTTAATTTCCTTTTAAGGCTATTTTAATTGATAGATCGAGATTTATTGATCACAATCTACACATTTCCATGCGTCACTGTATTTACGATACACATGAATTGAACCAGATTATACTTAGTGTAAACAGTTAAATATCATAAAAACTGAAGAGGTGAAATTTAAGATTCTTCGGTATTGTTTGATACATGACTCAGAAAAGTCATTCGTACATACCTTGCTTATAAAGGATGACACTACGTCAAAAGTATTTCAGGTAAATAGGTGTCACTACACACCTGGACAAAAAAGTACGTGATATAGTAGTCTTAAAGAAAAGTGTAGTAAACATGAGGTTACATTATATCAGCTACTTTAATATATAGTGTTCTGAAACCTCATTGACAAAAAAGAGCAGAAATTGGGTATGGAAGAAAATTGTGACGTTAGGAAGACAGAATATGGACTTGATTTATCGAGGTCAAACAGTAAGGACACGAGAGTGCGACAGAGGGTAAGGCGCTCCCTTAACGGTGTCAATGGAGGGATAGTACATGTGTATATATATTACGATAAAATTGACGTATGGTCTTCTGAAACGGTTACTAATTTAAATTATCTTTAAAGTGGATTCGGGATATGTTAAGGGGGTGGAGTGGGGGGGGTATCTTTTGTTTAAGGATTGAGATTAAAAACAAGAAGAAGTTACATTGCTTTAATCATATTTTATTGAATAATCCAAATGAAATAAGGGTTGGGCAACAGGCAAAGCCTATGCAACCCTCTCCTTGTATCGTTAGATCACAATCAAGTATTATATATTCATCAGTATTTAAAAAAAAGATGACAGCCACCTAATTGTTTGTACAAATTATTAACATACTATTCCAGCTTTAATGAAAATATTTTGAAAAACAGAAGCTACATAAGAAAAATAAATGAATAACGGTGTGTATATATGTATATACATTGTGTATAATTAAAGTTTTATGCATGATGGTTTGGATCAATTAATTTTTTAGGATATGTATTAAAAAAGGATTTTTTCCCTAAATTTTGGCTTCTGGAAATCAACTCCCATTCTATTCTCAGTTAGGAGGTGAAGATATTTATGTTGGATTTTGGTCTGTTTCCATATACAGTATGTTCAGATAATTTTGTCAAGCCATTGTGTCTTTGGTTTCCTTTGACATACATTGTATCCTGTTTGTAAAACAATAGTTTACTAGTTCTTTGAAGCTAATGTCAAATTAACCAGTTCATAAGCGAGTTACATTGAACTCTCGGATATGCGTTTTTCCGCCTCTGACAAAGTATACTTATAAATATTTTTTTCGTCCCGATTTAAGACTAGCTACATGTATATGATGGGGACTTGATGTTGATTCATTGTTGAACTTTACTCATATGTATCAAATCATGGAAAGACAAACTTCTTATGTTCGAAGACGATTGGTTTCAACTCGATCTCTTTCTATCGAGAAAGCAGAGGTTGCTTTAAGAATTTGAACATTTAAAAAAATAATTTTGTATTTTATTTATTTATTAATAATATTCTATTCTAGTGATACTTGCAACTTTGTCTCTTGTTTCCGATTCTGCTTGTGTATCCTTAGCTGCAGAGTTGTGGCGCTATGGTTTTATATATACTATAGTCTTTGACCATACATTATGGATATAAAACAATAACGCTAAAGGTTTGCAGCTATCTGTGCACTTGTATTAAATTTCGTGAATGCATAATATGATGTATAAAGAAACTATAATGTTTTAAAACCAATCTTTTTTTTCTTTTGAAGAAGTACAGACTAAGTTCTTCTACTACTCCGTCCCCTTCAGAAGAAAACAAAGGATTTTCCACTGGATATTATCACAAAAATAAAAATATCTTCACGGTCAATGGATATGGAGCCGACGTGACAGAAGGAAAAGAGACACCAGCTTTTGACAATTATGCATATGCCTCGCATGAGGATGACAATGTTTTTAAACCAAAAAGTGATATTTATTTTGACCCCTCTAGTTTACAGAGAGGGGAAAAGGGGAAAAAGTCAAGGGTGGAAAGTGCTCGGGACGAAAATGTGCCAAAAAAGAAAAGAGAGAAAGGATGTTTAATGTTGTTGTGCTTTTTAACTTTCCTTGGATTATTAGCAGGAATAGCTGTGATAATATACGTTCAATTTTTCAAAGGTATGTTATTCCGGAAATGTGAAGCACGTTTTCATGGTTTCTTTTTTTTCATAGTGAATGTTTATTTCCGGTTTGAAAAATTCGCCAAAATTCAAAAGATTTGATGGTACATGCAGCTGATTGTGCCTTCTACTGTACAGGATATTTCTAAAAGCATCTATATAGATAAATTCATAGTATAACTTCTATATTCATCGTAAGATAACGTTTATATTGCGTCAAGCAGGAAGTATCAGTAGGAATTCCAAAAGAATGTCCGAATTCAGGAAAAACTAAATTCTTTGAACAGGTCCAATCCAAAGACTATTTCTACCTACGTAGCTATGAATAGCTACGTAGGTATTTAAACTTACCCAAAGTAGCTATTTTTACCTACTTTTTTGTATTATCTGCACAAAATTTGCGCCCAAACGCAGGAACAGCGCAACATGGTGAGCACAAAATTCTTTGAAACTGTCACACTGATGATGGATATGACAAAAATTTGGCCAAAAAATGATTACTTTGTATGTTATCAATTTTGCCTAGAAACTAATGTAAAATTGAAGATTCAGGAAGTAATCATTTTTTGACCAAAATTTTTGTTGCATTCATCATCAATGTGACTGTGTCAAAATATATGGCATTCACCGTGTTGCGCCGTTTGGTCTTTTGGTCAAAAAATGCAGATAATACAAAAAGTAGGTAAAAATAGCTACTTTGGGTAGGTTTAAATACCTACGTAGCTATTAATAGCTACGTAGGTACTGGTAGAAATAGTCTTTGGACTTGACCTGTTGAATATGTAGGACCTATAAGGTTACATGCATACAAATTTGATGTTATTATGCCATTGAAATATCACTGGCAGAGAAAAAAAATGATTTTAATCAGTCATTTTTGTAAGGAGCAGGAAAATGTTAATATTTTTAGAAAGTGATTCCAAAATTAAAAAATACCTGATCTTCTTAACTAATACTGTTTAATTAATTTTGTTTTGCATTGATTTACTGTATATATAATGAATTTATAACATGATGATAGAAATATTGCATTATGTGGCATCCATAATAATTTTGATGATCACAAAAATTAAAAATTGCAACTGAATCTTCTTTAATGAAGGTATTTTCTCACCTGAAAGTATTTTTCTACCTTCTATTGTAGAAAAATCTCCCGATCAAGCTACACAAGCTTGTAAGTATTATTTATGAAAAGCAGCCAGAATATTGTTATTTGATTCAGCTAATTGTTAACTTTTTCTAATTCTGAATACATATATAGATGCAAATATAAGGAAACAGCATCAAATCAAAATTCTTTCTTTGAATAGCTTTTGGTGCAGTTATTTATGTGATATTTAAACCAGTTAAATTTGAATTTGTAGCACCTGTGATATTAATAGGCAGCATAACCTTAAAAGATGATTGGAATGAGGATCTACGCAATTCCTCATCCCCAGTATTCAAGTCTACATCAGCTAACATATCTGCAGAGGTACTTGATTCAATTGAAGATTTCTTTTGTTTACATAATATTGTTAAAATTCAAATAAAAGTGGTTACAAGGCTGATTTCCTGTATCCTTGAATCACTATCTGACTTAGTTCATTATTATTATTTGATTTATATTAAAGTAGTTCAAGGTTTAAAATAATGTAAATTATTTACTAGAATTTATTATTATATCAAAAGTTTGACAATAATTTATAAACTGTTTAAATGGTATCTAAATTAGGACTTGATAGCATTAAGATGTATGAAAACATTGTTGATTTTTCCTGTTTTTATGGTATTTATTCTGCAATACTGAGTTCAGATATTAACATTTATTGAATATTGATTATTACATGTATTTTGTATTTCAGGTGGATATCATTATGCAAAATGGCAATTTGTCACAATTTTATGTGGAAAATAAAATATTGTCCTTCAGGTAAGTTAAATTTAAAATTTACTCTTCTGTTTCTGCATCATGTTGCCTTTCTTTGTGAATAAGCAATTATGAAAGAAAAACAGAATTATATAGTGAGAATTTGATTTCACAAAATATGTACTTATACCAGTATTTCTTTTATTTTAGCTTAGCTACCCCCTCCTTATATTTTTCTTACAAATTCAAAGGTATTAAGAAGAGCTACATGTATAAGGGCTCATTATATGAACCAAGAGTTCATTTACCCTCATCTGTTAAAATCCTCCTAATGGGCTCCTGTACTGGATAAAATATTGTTGAACAAATCATTTTTTCAAATGCCTTTTCTCATGCAATTCAATAATTATCAACTATATGAAGACCTTTATTTTCAAATCAGATGAGATCAGTGTGATATTCTTGCTTCATGTCTTTTCAGTCAGGGCAGTATTGTGGCCACTCTGCAGATTTACTTTCGTCCAGACTTTGGATTAGGTTTCCAAAATGTTGAAGCATTAGCTTCATCTGCAGAACTCCACGTGATGGAGGCTGTACAAAGTGGATACACAACTCTCAATATTCAGGCAGTCAACTTAACTGGTTTGTGTTTTATAAAAAAACAAAACAAAACAAACAAACAAAAACAAAACAAATTGAGTTTAGAAAACACTGTATAAAATGTGTATTTTGATTGCAAAGAAAATAAGGGAATTATACTAAATAAATGGAGATGTATGAGGTGTCTAATTATTACAATTTATTTTGAATGGCAAGGATATTGCTAAAATATTTGAAATTCCTATCATTAATTCTGAAGGTGGAATCAGAAATTAAAAAGAATTATACTGCTTTTGTATGTTGAGAAAACTTCAGAGAAATTTAAATGATACAGTAAAACAATAAGTGTTAATAAATAATTTTAAAAAAATCTTTGTATTTTATAGGAGAAATGATCACTCCCACCACTTTGCCATTAAGCACAGTATCATCTACCATTTCATCAACATCATCAACAGTTAGTACACTTTCAAGCACAACTTCAAAGTCAACCTCCAGTTTGCCACCATCATCATCACCTGAATCAACAACACCTGAACCAACGACTACCACAACACCTGAACCAACCACTACAACACCTGAACCAACCACTACAACACCTGAACCAACCACTACAACACCTGAACCAACTACTACAACACCTGAACCAACCACCACAACACCTGAACCAACTACTACAACACCTGAACCAACCACTTCAACACCTGAACCAACCACTACAACACCTGAACCAACCACTACAACACCTGAACCAACCACTTCAACACCTGAACCAACCACCACCACCACACCTGATCCTACAACCACCACACCTAATCCAACAACCACTTCCACACCTAATCCAACAACCACAACACCTGAACCAACCACCACAATAGAGACAACAGAACCTGTCTCAACTACCCCATTACCAGGTACAGCATGCTCAAACTAGATATTTGACTTTATCATTATTGCAGTTAATTTTCTTAATTATGAATAGGATAATTTTGGACGCAAATTAGTTTTGTAAATAGATATTTTTGGAAAGTGTCTGCATGTAGTGCCTCATTGTGTAAGCGAAAGAACTTTAATATTAACTAGAAGATGGTGTGCATTACTTGTATGCCACCACCATTTGCCCTGTATTTCTACAAAAAAAGAAATAATTTTTTTGGAATATAACAATACCAGTTATCTTATTTTAGGCATGTGTATACCATTACCGGTGGAGAAATGTCAGGCCTTGGGCCGTAACAGCACAATGCTTCCCAATTTCTTTAACCAGACAACCATTCAGGAGACCTTGGCCCTGTTTGAGATGTTTAAAATGCAGAAGTGTTCTGACAATGCCTTGCTGTACATCTGTGACATGATGTATCCAAGGTGTGAAGAGGAACAGCTTCCATGTAGGGACTTCTGTCTGAGTGAGTATTCCTTGGAAATCAGGATTTTGGTAAAGCATGCTTACATAGAGCACAGAAGCTGGTTATTTGTCTAGTACAGTCAAATCTTGTTATTACAAACTAAATGGGACAAAAAAAAAAGCAAGATATTCAAGGTTTTGGGATATTGGGGTTTTAAAATATACTTAAAGAAAAGTGCTTTTGACATCCAAATCACCTATATATAGTAAATATACCTGTGAAAAGTTCAACTGTTTTAAAGAATTAATGAAGAATGATTTCATGATTGATCTGTAGGTTTTATTCCTGTGTGTGATTAGGTTTGAAAAGTGAACAATTAATTTTATTTTCTAGTGAAGTTGGGTTAGGAGTTTAAATGATATTGCATAAAATATGGAGATAACAAACAGTATGCAAGGAAACAATACAAATCAGGAGCAGAGCAATGGCAGACCTCCAAAACATCATAGATGGGATCAGGTGCCATGGAGGAATGAGGATCCCATTAGTTTGGTTTTAAAGTGGATTGTTTTATATAACAGGTATTCAGATGGAGTGTGGGAGTAACTTTGAGCTGGCTAAAGAGCGGTACTGTAATCAACTACCCACCACAAAGTGCACCCATCCAGTGGTAACCACTACCAGTACCACTTTAGCCACCACTACCACTTCATTATCAACTTTACCCACCACTATTACCACTGCTGTACCATTACCATCTTCAACTGTTGGTAGGTGTGAAAGCTAACATATGACAATATCCCAAATTTTGATAAAATTTTGTCTTGCTTATAAATGCCTAATAACTACACTGGAATTTAAAAGTTGTTGCAAAAGTTGGTGATCTCCTGTATTTAAAAAATTTTTTTGTTAAAAAATCATTTCACTTTCCATGCTATAATCCTGATGTTTTTTTTTCAGGCTTTTGTTTGCTACTACAAGTTCCAGAATGTCAGGCACTTGGCCATACTTCAGTCATGTTTCCTAACCCTTTCCAGCACATGTCTATTGAGCAGGCATTGAGTTTCTTTGAGCAGTACAAGATTTCAAGTTGTTCAGCCAGCTCCATGTATTATCTGTGCAATATGTTTTTTCCCAAGTGTGATCCTGCAACAGGAGTTATCACGTACCCATGCCAAGGACATTGCAATGGTATATGAAATACCTTATCATGTTATTGTCAGGGACAAAATTTTTTTCAAATTTAAAAAATACCATTGCTGAATTTCTAAAAATTGTGTCAAAACGTGACTTGATGAAATAAAGACAAACCTTGTTCATTTAAAATCTTTGGGACCAAGACAAAAAAAATACTTTGATTTGAGATTTGAGATATTGTAGATGAAAAAGGTAGAAACAGAATGTGATCCTTACTAGCTTCAACATATATGGATGGCTTTGCCCCCCTATTTTGCATAGATAGACATGATTTAGGTATTGGAAATTTGGGCCTATTTTTTTTGTTTTCTTTCCAGCTACCTATAATTCTTGTCCAGGTCTACCTGTGGCTAACCCCACATACTGTGTTCAGCTACAAAACACCAACTGTGAGCCTAAATACGTGGAACCTACCACTACAACCCAACAACCAGAGACTACACCTCAACCAGGTATTCTTAAGGAGGTTGGGGGGTCAACAAATTAACCATCAGATATAAGTTAATTTTTAGATAGGATATTTTGCACTCTTCACTATCATTTAGCAAAGAAAGCTCTTCTTATATGTAGCTCTTCTTTTAAAGGAGATCAGTATAGTCTTAATCTTATAATGGGTACAACCACCTAGCCCTCTTAAACAGCAAAACATTTACCCTCTCAGAGTCAGCATTTTTGTTATGATGTCATATCATTTCAGAAAATTGTATAGTCATGTCCAAATAAGTCAAGACATTGATGAAAATGAAAAAAATATTGATTTATCAGTTCTAGAGTTATCTTTCCCTAGCAGAAGTTGCATTCTCCTTAATAAATGAAATGCTATCTTAAAAAATTATGGCTCAAGTACAGTTCACATATGGGCCTATAACTACTTAATGATAGGAACATATTAGCCATTATTTGTGATGATGCTGAAATATAATATGTTTTATGACTCCGGATTAATCTTTTTGTTTCAGAACTGTGCCTTTCCCTAAACATCCCAGAATGCCAAGCAGTCGGCCATACTTCTGGCACATTTCCAAATATATATGGTCACCAATCAATTGAAGAAGCATCGGTCTATTTTGAGGCCTACAAGAATTCAAGCTGTTCAGACAGCTCCATGTTTTATCTGTGTAATATTCTATTTCCCAAGTGTGATCCCTCAAATGGACTTCTGAGTTATCCCTGCCAAGATCACTGTAATGGTAGGTCAAAACTTGATGATATCATTGTCTCTTGCAAAAATTTGGTTTTTAATTTTTAAAAATTACCTCTATCCTATGATAAGAGGATGTCTTATACATGTCTTGGTTTAATTGGACGAAATTTAAGCTTTGGAATTTAAATACTGTAAAATCACAAATTTTTGTGGGGGTTTCATTTTCATTGTTTTAGAGGTATGAAGAGACCCACGAATTCATATCCACACATACAAACAATTGTAACTACTAAAGAATTCCTTATCCATGAAATCAAATCCCAAGATTTTTTCCTCAAACAATGAAAATTTGACCCCACGAAAATATGTGATTTCACAGTAGGTTTCCTCTTGTTGGTAGATGGAGGATAAAAGAAAACGAGAATTTAGAAATCTAAATTCAATACATTTAATGTAACACTGTCAGACTGTGTTCTTAGTAATAGAATGCAATAATGTTTAGGTAAATTTGCGAAAATTTTGTATACCTAAGAAGGAACTAATGACAATCTCGCAAAAATAAGGTGTCACAAAAATTTAATGATCTACAGTACATGTTAGAAAATGTGAAGAAAGCACAATTTAAAATTCTGTTTACCAATTTTTATTTGGAGTCATATTTAAAATATTTAAAGGTATGAAAGAATTTTACCCTGAAGAATTGCAATGAAATGTTATCATAAATTGTAAAAAAGTATTTGATTTACTGTATCCAGTACATGTACATGCACCTCATTAGTTATTTACTAATTTGGAGAGCACTGTCAACATATTACATTTGTCTGTGTATTCTTTTTAAAGCTTTTGGCAGAAAGAAGCATGTCTAGCACATACGAGGGGCATTTCAAAAGTTCTGAGAACTGTCAAATAAAAAAATAACCATTTCACGGAAATTATTGAGTTTGATATCATTGGAAAGTTCAGAAAAATATAAACATATTGTGACGTCACTTTGTAATTTTTATGACGTGATATCCAAAAACCAGAACCTTTAACAATAATGTTCAGCATACTGAAAAATCGCGTTTTAACATTAGAGAATTTTAAAGTTTTGCCAAATATTTCAAAGAAAATTTTCATTTGCAAAGAAGTAGAGTCTTTTCCATATTTCATTGTATGGTTTGTTTTCTGTTTATGCCCGGTTATGCTATCAACATTCATTTAAGATTTTAAGTTGCATGATGTTTTGTCTTTATAAAGCTCTCCACTGTATGTAATATATATATTAATGCAGTTTTCCATATATTTTGAGTAACATTCTTCCGTTTACAAATAAAATGTACCTTGCCCCTGACTTGTTTCTGTGCGTATTTTTTCTAATTAATCAAAATCAAATTTGCTTTTTAAAAAAGATTTGTAAGTTACACAGACGTGTAAAATCTTATTTAATTTCCATGAATTAAAATTTGCGAATATGTGGAGGCCTTACAATATAATTAGGAGCACACTTCTTCTTTTGATCCCTCAAATCTGGTTAAGATACTGATGCCATCAAATTTTGTAACACGAAATTTCTTTGTTTGTCAAACTTTGCCTTTTTCTCAAATTAGTTGCATCATTTGAAAAAAATCGCTTAAACCATTTCAGAACCTCTGAGCCACCAAATGATAGAAAGAATTCCACCAACTGGCATTTGTTATTAATTTGTTTATAAAATTTTAATTTGATCAAATTGTGTCTTTTGTTACATTTGTTTAATTTTCATTTTCAGAGTTATTACGTCATAAAAATTATAAAGTGACGTCACAATACATCTTTCCATGATATATTAATTTCCGTGAAACGGTTAATTTTTTATTTAACAGTTCTCAGAACTTTTGAAATGCCCCTCGTATATACATAAACAATATAACATTAAGCATTGCGTACATGTCTACACTAACATGCTTTGGTTGCTAATTTTTATAGTATTAAACAGTAAGAGACTGAAAGGATGAAATTTCAACTTATGATAGATAATTGATTTATTGAACAGCCATTCAACTTGCCTGCCCTGCCTTATCCTTTCTGGTTTCTCCGGAAGTGTGTGTCCAGTTTCTAACTGCCAACTGTGTACCTATTTACCAGAAACCAGGTAACCTTTACTCTCAGTAACTGTTCTGAAAGAAAACTGAGAAACCTTGACTCGTTTTTAGTTGATGGAGCTAAAGCATGGCCAATCTTTTCTGGTCAGAGAGTTTCCCATGTCTGTCTGTCTGTCATATAAATATGTTCCATTTTCATTCTTCTCAAATCCATGGGGATAATTTCAACCAAATTTGCATTTTGGGATCAATAGGACTGAGCTTTGCTACCTGAAATTTAATTAGTCACATTCTCTTTTTATTTAGAGATACTGTAATTTGAAAAAAATGAATTTAGTCGCATCGTTTGAAAAAAAAAAAAATTTCAAGAACCACTGAGCCAGAATAAGAATTCCAATAAATTAGGTAAATTTGTGACTGCCCCTTTTTTTGTTTTTGAAGATTCAACATGTTTATTCATTTCATGGCCCCTAGTGGTACATGTAGCTTTGGTTAATTTTTATTTTAGGGGACACATAAATACATGGAAATATACACCAAAAATCTTCTAAAAAATTTTTCTTAAAAGTAAGCATCCTCAGAAAAAAATCATGGCTACAAGGGGGGGGGGGGGGGGGGGGGGCTATGGATCAAAATTTTTCATTGAAAATGGAGGGCAGAAAAATCTTTTTAAAAATCTTTTTAGAACAGTAGGGCCAAGGTGGATCAGGTGAGCATTAAGGCTCATTGTCCTTATTTCTTGATTGGGAAACACCATCTACTGACTAAAATGACACTATTACAATGTATGTATTTATGGTGATTTTTAACAGGATATGGAAATTTTAAAAGAAATTATTTTTATAATTATAAACAGTACAGAATCAGGGACAAGTTATTTATAATATTAACATTTTATCAAGGATGTATGTTTATTTACTTAAGTTAGAGTTACCATCCTTTGCGGAGGAGCATTTGTCCTTAAATAAAACTTTGTCAAATATTTTTCTTTTTAGATTTGTGTCTTCAACTACAAGTTCCAGAGTGTCAGGAAGTGGGCCATAACTCTGTCATGTTCCCTAATCCATTCCAGCACACGTCTATTGAGCAGGCATTGGGTTTCTTTGAGCAGTACAAGAATTCAAGTTGTTCTGACAGCTCCATGTATTATCTGTGCAATATGTTTTTTCCCAAGTGTGATCCTGCAACAGGAGCTATCACGTACCCATGCCAACAACATTGCAATGGTTAGAATACAGAATAAAAAGAAAAGAAGAAATTGCTAGTCTAATGTATCGCGACATTTGAAAATGATATGATTTGATTTCCTGGCTTTATAGTTAATGCTTCTAGAAAGATCAAATTTACAATATAAATAGCATTCAAGTTCTTAAAATAAAGAATATTAAAATTACTTCATATTTAAAATAAATTTACAGCAGCCAATTTGAATTTTACATGCAACATTAATTATAATAAATTTTGTTCATTTCTACTATGCACTTTGTAAATGATCATATAGTTGTATCTGTTTTTCTTGAACAGCCACCCACGATTCCTGTCCTTCCTTGGCTGTTGCTAACATTAATTACTGTGTCCAGTTAGTCACAGAGAATTGTGAACCAAGTTATCCAGAGCCTACCACTACAACTCAACAACCAGGTAGCTTATTTATGAATCAGAAGTACTGTAAACCAACTTTTATTCCCTTGTGAAAAATATCCTCGAGTTTCACGATCTACTTAAATTCATGAATATTTATCGCTGTGAACCAATAATTATGCTTTAAATTAGTAGACAATGTTTCCTCAGTCTCAAAAATTAATCGTCGCGGATTGATTTCAAACTGACAATTCGCAGATAATAGTTGGTTTGCAGTAATCTAATTCCAGTTTTATTGAGTAAATTTTAAAAATAAGTACAGCAAAAACATGTACATGTACCATGGATTGTGCTTGTAAAAATAGATCTAGTTTCAATATTTTACAATGATTTTATTTGACTGTGTACCTTTCTTTGTAATTGTGGAATATATTTCCTGACTATTTTGCTTTGTAGGTTTGTGTTTTACCAACACTATCCCAGAGTGCCTTGCCGTCAATCATACCGTTTTTATGCTTCCCAATTTGTTCGGTGATACAACCGTAGAAGCCGCCATTAAGAATTTCAACTCCTACAAGAACCAAAGCTGCACAGATAGTACAATGTTTTACATCTGTGATTTGTTTTTCCCAGGCTGTGATGTTAATACAGGGGACTTCAAGTATCCATGCAGCGATCTTTGTTATGGTAGGTATATTTACTATAGAACCTTTAGCCAGCATGTTGTGTAATAATTACACCTTCCACCTTTAGCCAGCATATTGTGTAATAATTACACCTCCCTCTCTGGCTACCTGCCAACATATTGTGTAATAATTACACCTCCCTCTCTGGCAACCCAGCTTTCAACTTCCAAGAGTACTTACTTTTTCTAAGTTAAATAGTTTGGAACTCAGAAATTATAAAAAAAAAAATACATTTACTTTTGATTTTTTTTATGGCTAACATGTTCTGTCAACATAAAGGTGTAAAATTTGGCATTTTGCCCACTCAGAGGTATGCCAATAATTTTGGAGTAATTTATTTTAGCGGGCGCATGCTTTCAGCTCTTTGCAAATGGACATTAAGAAGAGTATTGACTAATTTAGCGATTAAAATTTTAGCATGTTCTTAGACCCCGCTCCCATATATATTCGATTGCTTTTTTTTACGTTTCTATGTTTATTTGACTAACACTCTCTGTGACCAATAGTCCTGTGATTGTCTTTAGATGTTAAAGGTGCTAATAAAAAGTACAGATCAGTAATAAGATAAAGACAGTCTTCTCTTAACTTGGTGTTGACAATATTTTTTTTTTACTTGACAGATGCACAGAACGTATGTCCTGGACTGATACTGGCCAACCCTGCCTACTGCCAACGACTACCAACCTGTGAAGTCAAAGGTGTGTTACAGTGCATTAGCTAGAAAGTAAATCTGGCATAACCATTTTATGAAGTTTACATTATTTTATACATTCATCGAGGAACATAAGTGTTTTTTTTCTTCAGATAAGTGTCTAGCTGTAAATGCACCTGAATGCACAGCTCTTGGACTGAATTATACAAAATTACCCAACACATTTGGACACACTGATCTGGCCACTGCTAAGACTTATTTTGATCAGCTCAAGCAGCAGAGCTGTTCGGATACGGCTTTATTTTACTCTTGTATGATGCTTTTTCCACCTTGTGACGAGACGACAGGATCTGTGAAATATGCTTGCAAGGAAGACTGCATAGGTATGATCAGATTTTAGACTATTGGGAGATTCTAGCATTTCCAATACTTTTTACTGAGCGGTCCAAAAAATTTGTGATGTTGGAATGGTAGGTGAGATGTTGGACTGGTCTGTGAGGTGTTGGACCATTAATTATATTTTATGCCATAATGGGCATTCCTTGATCCTCTTCTTCTTAGGAAGTATCATCCACAATGAGTCAACTAGGTATATCTATAGTGTGGAATTATTTTAATTCGGGGGAAGGGGGACCAAAACTTTTCACTGGTACTTTGTAATATAATTATACCCCCCCGCAAACGAAGTTTGGGGAGGTATATAGGAATCACCTTGTCCGTCTGTCCGTCTGTCTGTCTGTCTAGCTGTCCGTCTGTCCGTCTGTCTGTGCAATTGTGTCCGGTCCATATCTTTCTTACAGAAGGACATTAGAATCTACTACTCCACACAAAGATTGCCCATGACCTAAGGGTGTGTCATGACTTTGACCCAAGGTCATTTGGGGAAGTTCAAGTTCACTGGAAGAAAAATTTCATAATTCGTGTCCGGACCATATCTTTCTTATGAATAAACTTGGTAGGTTCTCATTTCACACAAAGATTGCCCATGACCCAAGGGTGTGTCATGACCTTGACCCAAGGTCATTTGGGGAAGTTCAAGGTCACTGGAAGAAAAATTTCATAATTCGTTTCCGGTCCATATCTTTCTTATGGATAAACTTGGTAGGTTGTCATTTCACACAAAGATTACCCATGACCTAAGGTAGTGTCATGACCTTGACCCAAGGTCATTTGGGGAAGTTCAAGGTCACTGGAAGAAAAATTTCATAATTCGTGTCCGGTCCATATCTTTCTGATGGATAAAGTTGGTAGGTTCTCATTTCACAAAAAGATAGCCCATGACCTGAGGGTTTGTCATGACCTGACCCAAGGTCATTTGGGGAAGTTCAAGGTCATTGGAAATAAAATTCATAATTTGTGTCCGGTCCATATCTTTCTTATGGATAAACTTGGTAGGTTCTCATTTCACACAAAGATTGCCCATGACCCAAGGGTGTGTCATGACCTTTACCCAAGGTCATTTGGGGAAGTTCAAGGTCACTGGAAGAAAAAATTCATAATTGGTGTCCAGTCCATATCTTTCCTATGGATAAACTTGGTAGGTTGTCATTTCACACCATGACCCAAGGGTGTATCATGACCTTGACCCAAGGTCATTTGGGGAAGTTCAAGGTCACTGGAAGAAAAATTTCATTATTCGTGTCTGGTCCATATCTTTCTTATGGAAAAACTTACTTCTGAAAAACCCAGCGGGGGGTATTTTGTCCCGTTTGGACAGTTCTAGTTTCACTGGTAGTTGTGTAAAAGAAAATTTAATGAACCAATACATATACAAAATTTTAAATGTTCGTCAGAGTGGAAATCTGTTGGTATTAGTGTGACCCACAAAATTCAAACTTTTGCCACCACCCACCCACCCTACCCTTAAAAACTCTATCAGTAATTTGCATTTATCAAATACATGAATGCGTTTTTTTACTGGGTTCTTTGGAGTGTATTTTGCAGAATCATACAGTTTGGTTTTTGGAAACAACAAATTGCATTTTGCCCTTGAAACCATTCAAAAATGTTTGCTGTTATTTCTTTTGTGATATAAGAGGATGGTTCGAAAAGTTCATGGACTTCTGTCATATCTTTTTTATTTGATGCCTTATGTTATCCAAAATTGGTAGAAATATTTTATCAGGAAATTCAAATTATTTGTATCAATTTTTCTTAAATATCATGATTTGTTCAAAGCTTATCCATATTTTAAAAATGCAAAAATCGAATCGCGGAGCAGGTCAAAATTTAGTAAGTTACAAACAATACACAAAATAATGTCTGTATATATATTCTCTGTAAAATAGAGCAAAAACAAAAAACAACCTAGAAATTCAAATTAAGAATAATTACATCGATTCGTATTCCAAATTATGGCTTAATATTTTGCTTTGTTGAAAAGAAATCAACTTGAGAAGGTAGGTAGTTCTCATTGAAAATGACAAAAACAATGCAGGAGCAGCAGATAACGATGCAATTTTGTGTTTTTAACTGAGGAAAAATCCTGAATAAACTCTAAAAATGTTGGAGGAATCAAGAATGTATGTCACAAGGGAGTTGTGCATGTGTGTACAAATAGTCTAGGCAGTATTTGAGTGACAGAGACTTAGTATCGGATAAAGACAATTTTTGAAGAAACGGTTAAAATGTAAAAATCTGAACAAAAACTTTATAAAGTTGGAATGTCAAGGGAATGACACAGGTGCTTCCGAGTTGCTTATCCTGAGAAAGCAGAGTTAAGTAATATTATACAATTATTGCTGCTTTTTGAGGTCAATACAATGATTTAGCCATCTGAGGAGTACAATATTCACCGAGCCCGAAGGGCGAGGTGAATATTGTACTTCGAAGATGGCTAAATCATTGTATTGACCGAAAAAAACAGCAATAATTGTTTTATTATATGATTCACTGATAAAATGATGCAGCTCATTACTTGTTAACTTGTATTTAATTAAGTCCTAGCTAAATACAAGAGAGAAACAGACTTAAAATGTGAATAAACCTTACCAGTCGTATCAATTTGAAATGTTTTTTCTAAAATCAATTTTAGTTGCCAAGAAAAAAAAATAATATAATGTCAGTCTTTTTATAGGATAGATTTTGAAAGGAAGGAGTATTTATTATCAGGGAAACCTGACTGCCAAAAAGTATAAAAAACAAAAACAAAAATAAACGGTTCTCAAGTAGAAGTGTTGGACGGAGGTCCATACATCCCCTCTTACCATCTTCACCCTAAAATATATATTCGCTTTTGTTTTTTTTTTCACATAAAAAAAATCACAGACGTTTAATTAAATAGCTTTCCAAAACAATTTGTATCAATTTGGAATTTCCCAATCTATTTTTAGATCAATGTAGAGGAAATAAATCCTTGTATTGACCTGGAACGTCACGTGCAGGTCAATACAACGTAGTATTTTTCTAACATAGTTGGATATCAGCCAATCAGAGAAATGGAAATTATTCAATCATATAATAAAAGAAATTAAAACCTGAACAAAGGAAATTTTACAAGAGCAATTCTTAACAAATAAATGTCAAGTATTAGAAAAAGGATTTAATGAGTGGACATTGGATTATACTGTGTGAAATGTATAGGGATAGTATTTTTTAGAAATTTTGACGCTATGTTTTGACGTTTCATTGCCATTAAGTGTGCTCCGGGGGTACAAAACTTTGATTTTAAAATGAAGTAAATTGATTTCTGTTAAATCGAATGGAATGAAACTTCACGCATCAACAAAACAGATATACATATATTTACATATTATATTGTGCTTATTTTAAATTTCTAGTGAGTAATATAATGAAGATTGACATCGTCCACGAAATTTTCGAACATCCCTTGTAATAACTGAAAATGTAAAGGTTATAATCTAAAATGCACTATGTATATATACATGTAATTGTGGCATTTTGTTGTAGCTGTCAATCAGGAATGTGGGAATGGCACAGTGTTAGCCAGTCTTACTTACTGTAACCAGCTTTTTGATGTCAGCTCTGGTAGATGTTATCCAGTGCCCTTAACCACTACCAGTACCATTACCACTTCTCCCGCCACTACCACTGTCCCTCAAGGTGAGATCCAATCCAAGGATAACAAAATTGAATACAGATTCTTCAGCTTATATATTACTTGGGTGTTCTTTTTCAGTGGAATAGATGAAGGTTTAATGGATTTATTTATAGATATTATTATATGATTATATTATATATTAATAGATTGGGAAATTCCAAATTGATACAAATTGTTTTGGAAAGCTATTTAATTAAACGTCTGTGATTTTTTTTATGTGAAAAAAAAAACAAAGGCGAATATATATTTTAGGGTGAAGATTTGTAGCCTCCGTCCAACACTTCTACTTGAGAACCTGGTTTATTTTTGTTTTTGTTTTGTTATGCTTATAAACACAGATATAGCAAACATGCTTATATGCGAAGTCACTTTTAGCTCACCTCAACAGTCAAGATGAGGTTATGCTATATGTGTATGATCAATATTAGCACACCCTACATGTAACTAAAGTTTTTGGAGCAAGTCTATTCCCAAGTGTATCTGTAACAATAAGCTTTACATGGTCCAAACTTGCAGGTTGCACACTAGATTGACTAGAAACATTCCTCCTATGAATCTGGTTTACATTTTTTATTTGATTGAATAGGTTTAAATTTTTAGAGCAGGTCTCTTTCCAATGAATTTTATTTCCTTTGGAGACCAGACTTGCATGGTTGATGCACCTAAAGATGCACACTACAAGACTGACATTCTCTTTCAAATGGTCAAATGGTTGAACAGATTAAAGTTTTAAGAAAAATTCCATTTCCAGTATAAAACTTCTCTGTTATGATTAAACTTGCATACCTACATTACCAGAGCATTTATTTGATGTTAGGGTTTGCTTTACTGTTAAAAAACATTTGTCAAGGTGAGCTTCATAAACATTGATTAAGAATGTATTTTTTTCAAAATATTTTACTAATAAAAACATTATTACATGAATGGAAGGAATGATGCCTATAACAAATTTAAGGAAATACTGTAGATTGGCAAACAATCACGGTGGTTTTTATTTCACTATGTTCGTGATTTATCATTTTTCCATGAAATTAAACCCATCGTGAATACTATTATAAGTTTTAGAAAATGCTTAAATGCTTATACAAAATATAAGATTAATTTCTTGCAGCCTGAAATTAAAACCATCACGATTGGTACTATTTGAGAAATCGTGAAATTTTAACACTGTGGAATTAAAATGACTTACAGTATATGGTGATCTTCTTGGTTCTGGTAATAAAATTTCCCATGTTGCTCTTTTAAAGATATCTGTATGGATCTGCCAGTGCCTGAATGCCGGTCTGTTGGCCGTAACAAAACACTGTTACCTAATGGTTTTGGACACAGCACCATTAGCGATGGTTTATCTGTGTTTGACCTATTTAAGGCCAGTGCCTGCTCCCAGAGTGCCATGTATTACCTGTGTACCTTCATGTTTCCTGACTGTGAAGTCAATGTCCAGAAATATCCTTGTAAAGAATATTGTCTAAGTAAGTTCCAGTATTTTTTTTTCCCAAGAATTTATCAAGTGCCTAATAAAGGCCTTAAATACCATATAAGCGGAAATTTTAGGGAGACGCAAATTTAGCGATTTGTCCTTAAAAACTGGTATATGTATTTTATTTTCTGGCAGTTGTAATTTTAGCTATTACAAAAAAAAGCAATTAATTTTTAAAGATATTCAGTTCTAGTGTTCTCAGTACCCTTGCTAGAAATGCCAAAATTAAATCCTCGCTAAAAATTCTGCTTATGCGGTATATACGTCTTTTTGAGAAAAGATATTTGACAGTGAAAGCAATATGCAGCTATTTTGCCATGATATTGTTGAAAATGAAAATGTGATTCAGTCAGAGAATTTTTCACAATGTGTATTGTATTGCAGGTGTGCAGGCAGAATGTGGTGTTAATTTTACCCTAGCTCAATCACAATACTGTAATCAGCTCCCTACCCAGGGCTGCGTTAGTTCCTTCCCAGGGGTCACCACTGTGACTACAACCATCCCACCAAAACCAAGACAGAGTAAGTAAACATAAGAACAGGGTTGTCACTAGGACTTAAGGGCCAGGGAATTTTCCCACCTATACTGACATGATCCCTTGATTATGGTGGTATTTCCATTCAACCTTCTGTTAGGGGAGAAACTCTAAACCCCTTTTACTTTTTCAACGTCTCCTGTTTTTTTTTATTCTTAGAGATAAACCATTAAAAGCATACATAATTTTTGTTTTAAAAAAAAAACTCTTTTTGAACCATCTTTTTTTCAATCAATGGAAAATTTAGAAGAAAACATCATCTATTAAATTGTAAAAATTAATTTTGATACTTAAAAACTAAATAAAAACATGTTTTAATATTCTTTTTATTTAATTCAATTTTTTTATATATAGTAATTTGTTAAAATAAGATGTTTTCTGCATTGATTATAATGTATGCTTGACAGATTGCAGCGAGACTGAACAGTACACCTGTCCAAGTGATGGTCACTGTATAATGAAGGAGTGGGTGTGTGATGGAGAGCCAGACTGTCAGGACCAATCAGATGAAGCCAACTGCAGTAAGTGTTGAATTTCTAGACCAATCAGATCAGCCAACTGCAGGAGATGTTGAATTTCTATACCAATCAGATTAGCCAGCTGCAGGAAGTTGATTTTCTAGCCAATCAGATAAACCAATGCAATGAGCAGTCAACTTCAATAATTTATTTATCATTTTAATCCATATTTAGAATTTTGAAATAGTTTTGTAATCTTTGTTAACCTCACAATACATGTACAATGTACATGTATGTTGAACCTAGGCTGAACATGTTTTATTGGAATTTTAAATGATTTTGTATATAATTTAGGTTCATGTTCAAGTACTGAGTTCACCTGCCTGGATGGAACTTGTGTCCCAGCTCAAGAAAGATGTAACAAAGTGCCAGCCTGTCCTGACCAATCAGATGAAAGGAATTGTGGTATGTTAAGTACCAGTAATTGTGTCTGTAAGATACAGTTGTAAATTTTCCTTCATGACTGTTTGTTGCTGTAATTTTGTAATTCAAATGTGTCTTTAATTTTGTTACAACTCATATAATTTTAGTTGTAAAAGAGAAATATTGTAAGATTTCAACATTTTTATGCCATGGAGCTCAATATGAATGATTTTACAGTATTCACCTTATGTTTTAGATGACTTACATTTAAGTATCAGAATAAAAGAGTTTGTTAATTATTTGACAGTGAGCCTAACCACCCAGTCTATCCTGATGCTGCCCTACCAGGAGAGGAGCCTACCCCTGTGTTATCAGTCTTGGTCTGACAGCTACGGGGCTGAAGTCTGTCGGGGTCTGGGACTAGGGTAAGTGGTGAAACAAAGTGATTGATTTCTTCTTTTTACAAGTAAAATAATGGTAGCAGTGTTCTGAGATTGATTACAATATCAGTATATTGCATAGATTCAATGGAAAATTTTGATTAAGTATAAGATAAACTAATGGCTATTTATTTCTGTAAATCCAAAGTAATAAATTGTCATAAATTATACAATGCAAGGAGGTAAAAAGTATTGTTTTCGGGACATTGTTCCTGACAAAACCACTAAATACAAACAAAGCACTCTTGACTCTTACTCTGATCCATATCTTCATTATCTTCCAGGAATTTTACTTATTCCAAACCTGTGACCTATTACAGCCGTGACTTTGCTCACCTCGACGGTAATGGACAGGTGTCATCTTACCTGGGAAACCTAGTCATCAGGTAATTAAGTGTTCCTTGACTATCCACTCTATGTAGAACAGGTTTTAGAGAAATAAAGATTCAGCAGGTAACATATATATCCCCTTGCACAAAAAAATGAAGGGTATATATTAATGCACTTATGAATGTGTAGCTCAGTGTGTGCAAGAAGTGTTCTTTTGCAAAGAGATGCTCTGCTTTGTGGTGCTCTTGATGATTTTGTTCCCAGTTTATTTTCACTTATCTTTTAAAGAATATTAATATATTTACAGGTCTGAATGTCAGAGTGCACAAGTAGTAGAATTAAAGTGTGAGCCCAGAGGTAAGTATCCTTTTTCATTCCCCCCCCCCCATAACAAGAATACATGATGATTTACAATGTTTGTAATTTATTGCAATATATTGTTTGAATTTTTAGGTTGTGGTCAGAGATTGGTTGGTTCCTCACAGACCAACTTTATCATTGGTGGAAATGATGCGGTACCTGGACACTGGCCCTGGCAGGTGTCTGTCCAGATAAAGCTGGGGAATAATGTGAAGCACATCTGTGGAGGCTCTCTAATCGCCCCAAACTTTGTGGTGACAGCTACTCATTGTCTGTAAGTTAATAAACAATGCTAGAAATATTTGTATTGGAAGATTGTTTATGCCTTAAAGAAATACGCATTTATATTAATACTAGCTTAAATATAAGTATATGATGTTTGTCATGTCTGTCTTCCATTTTTCCATCCTTCTGTCTTTCCTTCTTTCTGTCCATCACAATTTGCATTTAGCTCAGTTTTTCAGTTAAAAAATATATTCAAGATATTTTTTTTTATCAAATTCAATATGCTGATATTATTAGTAGGAGCTATTCAATGTTCTGCACTCCTGTAAACAAAAAAAAGAAAAATCCTGACCCACTCATAAAATAAATTCCATATTCAGCTACATAACATTTATTGATAATATATTAATCAACATTATTTTCATAATAATTGCAGAACTGTTCTTGTGGAAAGAAATGTACTGCTTGGAGCTACAAATCGGGGTGTTGTAGAAATCACACAGAGGCAATATGGAATCAGAAGAATCATTCACGTCAGTGAGAAGTTTGTGAAGTATGGACCAGGGGACATTACTCTGTTTGAGCTCAATGACACAGTCCAGTACACGCCCTACATCCAGCCAATTTGTTTCCCAGAGGAGGGGGAGAAGTTTACCGAGACCTCCATCTGTTATGCAACAGGCTGGGGGTTCACTTCACCTGGGGGTATATATATATATTCATTTTTTTTAGGACGGGGGGTTTAATTTTTATATAATATTTAAGTTTTCTCTAATTGTATACATGTATTTTTAATAAAAACATGAATTGAATTTTAATCTGTAATAATTGTTCATGTATTCGCATTTGTTTAAAATTCACCAAAATAACCAGATACATGTGTATTTCTAAAAATAAAGATTAATTTTTGAAGTGTCCAATAAAAATTCTGTTTGGTACCAAATTGTTGAATAGAAAAATGTCACAAACAAGAGATATCATCTGTTCTTGTACTGATGTTTCAAACAATTTTAACAGATCAATCCTATTCCACAATGCTAAAACAACTGAAGATGAGGCTATGGGACACCCAAAAATGTAACAGCTCGAAACACTGGAACGGAAACATCACCAGTGGATACATCTGTGCAGGATATGAATCAAGCCTTAAATCTGTCTGCACAGTATGTACAAGTTTATTATTACATGTATCTATAAGAATATGTGTATTTGATCAAACAATTTGGCCTGGGGGCAATAAAACTTAGATGAGCTCACTTTTGATCTCAGTCACATTTTTTCTATTATCAATTCCTTTGGAAAAAGTGAGACTGAGATCAAAAGTGAGCTTGTCTTAGTTTTATGGCCCCCAGGCCTGTTCATCTTTGAAAACCATGCCTTTAACCTAATAGCATTATTATGAGTTGGGAGAGAGGATGTTTTGAATCTTTTAATTAGTATGTGTTTGTATTAATATTCAATAAATTTTGTAGGGAGACAGTGGCGGCCCCTTGGTGTGTAAGGACAATGCTGGAATCTGGAAACTTGTGGGTATCTCTAGCTTTGTTTCCATTAACTGCAATGTATCACACCTTCCTAATGTGTTTACTGATGTCACAGCTTATCTCCCTTGGATGAAATCCCAAATAGGTATTGTTTTACATCAATACATCTGGTAGATTTTTTTACCAAATACTTATAATCAAATTCATTTGGATAAACGTGCACAATTTTTTCAATGTCCCATTTCCAGTGTTTGGTCTTATAACTTGGAAGTTAAGTTTAAGTTATTTTAAGGATCTCTTGTTATTTTAATTTCAGAGTGTAAGTTCCAGTGTGACAATGGAAGATGCCTGTATGACAATGATTTGGTGTGTAATCGACAAAATGACTGTGGGGATAACTCTGATGAAACTAGGATTTGTAGTAAGTATAGAGGTTTACTGTGGCCAAATTAGACAGGTATATTGAACTTGACAAGATGCTGTTAGCTAGATATTTTGAGGTTTTGTGTGAGCTTTATCAAGAACTTGATCAAATATAGGTCTAGTGACTTAAATTTTATGTCACATCAACTTAGTAATGAAAGCTCAAGCTCTTTTTCTCTACACATGAACCAAGCAAAAATATTCTTTTCATTATTGTTAGAGAACGTTTTTATTTTTTTCCCATGTGTTGAAAATATTGCAAAAACAGATTAATTCAAATTGTGTTTACAAAGTGCTATGGCAATAAAAAGTATGTTGTGCTTTTTTTCAGATATATCTGTTAACTGTACATTTGATGACAATTATCTCTGTGGATACAGTGTATCTGGATTCATCTGGAGTTACGGATCTGATAACTCACAAGCACAATCCAGTTTTCCCTGGACTGACCACACCATCGGTCATTATCCAGGTAAGGGAAATTTTAAGGAGATGCAATCTAAGCAATTTTCCACCCAAAAATTATAATACATATATTTTTAGACAAAAGTAATTTTAGCGATGTCAGAAGAGAAAGCTATAATGATCAATATTGAATAAGTGATATTCAATTTTAGCAATCTCAGAACCCTTCCTTATAATGCCAGAAATTGAATCCTCACTAAATTTTCTGCTGAAATGGTATAAAAATCTGGCTTAAAATGTGTGCCATAAAACATGATAACAACATCGAATAAGAAAAAAACTTAACTTGACTTGAAACTGGAATCAAAATTTGTTTTCTAGGTCATTACATGTTTGGAAGATATGGAGACCAGTCAGAGGCAATTCTGACTTCTCCAAAATTCCAGACTCAATCTCAGTCCTGTGTGAGGTTCTACTATAATCGACGAGGCGAGTTGTACGACAACATGTTGGTCCAGACCCTGGAGTACAGTCCTACGGGCTCCATCTATCCAGCGGAGACCAAGTACCTAGTGGGTCAGGGGAATTACGAGGACAACTGGAGGATAGGGTTCTTTGACCTGAGTGCAGGGACCTACCAGATAGTGTTCAAGGTCACGGACAAGCTGAAGAATGCTATTGATGATGTCAAGGTCATTCCTGGATCTTGTGCTGAAAAGGGTGAGTGGTTTATTTTTTCAAATCCTGATTTAATGAAGGAGCATTCTTATATATGCTCACCTGTGCTGCAAGAATTAAAAAAAAAAATGCTTTCTTTATTAAACAGTGAATGCAAAAGTACTTTTTAGTCCAATCTAGAAATTTTGATAAATAATCTATTATTTTTTCCCAGTGTGTGATGAGGGCTTGTTCCGTTGTGCTGATGATAAGGGTAACCCAGTCTGTCTGCCACCATCCTCTCAGTGTAATGTAGTAAAGCAGTGCAACAAAGATGAGGCCAATTGTCAAGGTAGGAAACAAAGTAATAGGGAAAAATGAAATATCAAAAAGATAAGATTATGGCAGCTTGAAGATGCTTTTCTTTTGAATTTTTTTAAAAATGAATTTTCCTTATGACATTGTTTGACATTTTATTTCAGCTAGTGCCTCAAGGTATAACTGTGATTTTGAGAAGGCAGCACAGTGTGGAATATCACAAACAACGCTAGACAAAGGAGAGTTTCTGTTGACAAATGGATCTTACCTGAAGGAGTTGGTACTGTTTCAAGAGGCCTTCAATGAGCACACTAACAATGATCCAAATGGTAAGATTTAAACTGCATGGGAAAAAAATCTTGACTTGCCACAGGGAAATGTACAGAATTACATGTACCAAAAAATTACACATACAGCCAAAATCATTCATTGTCTTGAACCCAATGGGTCTAAGAAATTGAAGACTTTAAATATCAGAGAATTCAAGATATAGAATATATTTATTATTCCAGATCAGGGCCCTTATTAAACAGAGCATATGATAATTATTTACAAAATGTGATGTATAAGTTGAGATAATTGCTAGCATGTTAAATTTTAATACATATTGTAAAATGTACTATCATGTAGATATTGGGTTAAAATGCTAAGAGAAAAGTGATACAGACTTCCAACTCACAGCAACATATTCTGCAAGTTAAGGAATTGATAAGATACTAAGTTCTACTGTTACAGTACAGTACTTGCATTTCCTTAAGTAAAGCTATTAAATAGACACTTTTACTATAGGGTGGATGTTGTTTGCGTTGACCAATGGACATCAGCTGATTGGGGACAATGTCACAATGACCCAGAATCTCGTTTTGAATAGCCAGATGTTCTGCCTTACCTTCTTTTATCGAGCGGGCACAGACATGACATTTAAGGTACCACCATACTTTCTTGTAAACAAGCTCATTTATTTGACATAAATTAATTTGGCAACTTTATAAGGCAAAAACTGATTATTTTTTTTCAAAGTTGAGTTAAAGCAATTTCAGTAAGTGTAAAATGTACAAAACAAACATCTAGTTTCAGAAAACAAAGTTATTATATAGGAATATTGCTGCTTGTTACATGGAAAAGTTATTGTGCAATCGTGTCCGGTCCATATCTTTCTTACAGAGGGACATTAGATGCTGTTTCCACATTAAGATTGCTCATAACCTAAGGGTGTGTCATGACCTTGACCCAAGGTCATTTGGGGAAGTTCAAGGTCACTGGAAGAAAAATTTCATAATTCGTGTCCGGTCCATATCTTTCTTATGGATAAACTTGGTAGGTTCTCATTTCACACACAGATTGCCCATGACCCAAGGGTGTGTCATGACCTTGACCCAAGGTCATTTGGGGAAGTTCAAGGTCACTGGGAGAAAAATTTCAAAATTCATGTTTGACACATATCTTTTATGGATAAACTTGGTAGGTTCTTATTTCACACAAAGATTGCCCATGACCCAAGGGTGTGTCATGACCTTGACCCAAGGTCATTTGGGGAAGTTCAAGGTCACTGGAAGAAAAATTTTATAATTTGTTTGATACATATTTTATTATACAAAAACTTACTTCTGAAAAACCCAGCGGGGGGTATTTTGTCCCGATTGGACAGTTCTAGTTTCATACTTATTTTTGTTGCTTTTCAAATAGAAAACATATATTCTTTCTTTTAATTCTCTTCATGCTTATCAATTTTCTTTTACAACAGGTGAGTCTGAAAACTGCAGGAGATGTGTATGAGTTATGGAACTTTACTGACAGGAGCACCTCTAATTGGACAAAAGCCCAGATGCAGCTCCCTCTGGTGTCAGAAGCTGAACTGGCTTATCAGCTTGTCCGACTGTACCCGGCCTCCAACAAGTACTACAAAGCCTACATGGCTATTGATGACATCAGTATAACACCAGGAGAATGCCCAGTCTATGGTAGGCTTCAGTACATGATTCAGATAGCAAAGACATGTATTCTTTGTGATAGGAAAATAAGTTGTGCTAATTAGAATGCCATGCTTTTTTTCCCATCTTGCCTTAACTGTAAAATTTTTTTTCGATGTGATAAAAGTCTCAGATGAATTAAGGTGAGAGATTTATATATTTGAATAAAGTATTTTTGAGTATTACATGTATTATTTCATTCACTGTATTCATAAATTCCAATTAAATGTTTAATTCAACCTAAAATTTTTATTATTTAAATTTTTATATCAACACAGTAATAATATTGACAAATTCTAAAATTCCTATTTTGCCTTAGTACTTTTTAACTTTTTCTTTCCTGTATTTCACAGTTAAGGCAAAGTGGGAACACACCTTATTGGTTAAGTTTAAGTGTTGCTTAACTATTGAAGTTAATGAGTCATTCACTAGATTATAACGTCCAAAATTTGCATGAATTCCCCCAAAAAGTATTGAAATGATAAAAGAGAGAGAGGTTTTAGATTGAATTTGAATGTCATATTTAAATGATTTCTTTCAGATTGTCCTGCAGGAACAATAAATCCTGGCAGATCGATTTTACAAACACAAGTCACTGCAATAGAATCGTGGACTGCCCAGATGAATCTGACGAAGCCAACTGCTGTAAGAAACAGAAACTTCTATATAAATTGAAGAAATTCTATTACATGTAAAAGTTATTGTTAAAACGTTTGAAAAACTTTTATTCCTTAGTACTGAGATTTTATTTTCCATCCAGCTTGTAGCAGTGACGAGTTTTCCTGTAGCAATGGACGCTGTATCCCACAATCCTCCATCTGCGACACCAAAGCCGACTGTTTGGACGCATCAGACGAGGGAGCCGTTTGTGGTGAGTACTTTTGCAAAAATATCTGAAAATAAAATACATGATAAAAGATTACAAGCTATTTTGTCTTTATCATCAGCTGCAGCATTCAAAATTAAATTCTTTTTTACAGACTCTCTTCGCAGTGTGACATGTACCTTTGTGAACCTTTTCTCCTGTGGCTACACTTCCAATGATGGCGAGTTTAATTGGAAGAGATGGAGTGGGAGTACCCCATCATTTTACACTGGTCCAAGCTTTGATCACACGATAGGGGATACAACCGGTAAGCTGATATAATAACAGTAGAAGCTTTTCCAATGCTGAGAGTTTTCATTTAAGAGATTTATGAATTGAGGAATTAAAAATATTTTTTCCCATATTCTCCATTGGTTCTGTAACTGTAAGGAAGTGGTCACACTGAACGTTGTTTTTATTTGGTGCCAAGATGCACATCGAAAAGATCTGTGTAAAAGAGGAAAATTTTATTTGTCGCCATTTCTGTTCATGTCTTATCATTGAATGGTAAAAATTTTTTTTTTTCCCCTTAGGACACTATTTCTATGCTGAGGGCAATGGGGGAAATGCTGGTGACATTGCCACATTAACGTCTCCGAATTTCACAACGGGAGTCGGCCAGAGCCTTGGATTCTATTACCACATCTATACCCAGAGTGCAATTTTCCTCATCCAATCAGAAGGTCTCTCTGTCGTGGCCCAGTTTTCAGATGGACGGCGTTCTCAGCTTTGGTGGCAGAACCAAACGTCCGGCAGCGATTGGGCCTACGGCTGTGTGGACCTACCAGATAACACCGATTTTAATGTTCAGTTCATGACAAAAAGGATAGGATCGGATAATAAGGGAATATTTGATGCCGATGTTGCCATCGATGACATTGCATTGCTAGTTTTGCCTTGTTCACCTTCTGGGGGTAAGTGAACTAATTTAGTTTCTTTTGAGGAAGGGGATGGGGAAGATGTACTATTAACATGTACATACATGTACTGGTTAATACATTTCATGAGTGCTAGTCTTATACAGTGTGTACTTATGTATACCATGTACAAAACCATATGTTATTGTACATGAGGTGTAGAATAAGGAAAGGTTTCAAAATGATCCTAAAATAATTTTGAGCTAATTTTCCTAGGAGGTAACTAGTACTTACTTTTTAGCTCACCTCAATGAAGTCCGGGGAGCTTATGAGATAACCTCTGCATCGGATTCCCAGGTTATGGTTAAGTTTTTTGGAGCAGTTTTCTTTTTAAGTACTTCTATGCCCTATATTGATTAGAAATGCATGGAAGATGCTTCTAGTGTGTTTCATTGTACCAGTCAATGTTTCAGATGCTGCAATTTCAGCAAAGGAATGACCAGGTTAATGTTTTTGGAGCAGGTTAACATTTTTGGTGCAGTTTTTGGTGTAGGTTTCATTTCCAAGTAACTATAATCCCCATGTTGACCAAACTTGCATGGATGATACATCTAAGGATGGATACTACCGAGCTTGCTTCGGATGCTGAATCTGACCTACATTTTCCGGTTGAGTGAACAGGTTTAAGTTTTTGGTGCAGGTCTCATTTCCAAGTAACTATAAGCCCTACGTTGACCAAACTTGCATGGATGATACATCTAAGGATGGATACTACCGGGCTTGCTTCGGATGCTGAATCTGACCTACATTTTCCGGTAGAGTGAACAGGTTAAAGTTTTTGGTGCAGGTCTCATTTCCAAGTAACTATAAGCCCTATGTTGACCAAACTTGCATGGATGATACATCTAAGGATGCATACTACCGGGCTTGCTTCGGATGCTGAATCTGACCTACATTTTCCGGTTGAGTGAACAGGTTTAAGTTTTTGGTGCAGGTCTCATTTCCAAGTAACTATAAGCCCTATGTTGACCAAACTTGCATGGATGATACATCTAAGGATGGATACTACCGGGCTTGCTTCGGATGCTGAATCTGACCTACATTTTCCGGTAGAGTGAACAGGTTAAAGTTTTTGGTGCAGGTCTCATTTCCAAGTAACTATAAGCCCTATGTTGACCAAACTTGCATGGATGATACATCTAAGGATGCATACTACCGGGCTTGCTTCAGATGCTGAATCTGACCTACATTTTCCGGTTGAGTGAACAGGTTAAAGTTTTTGGTGTAGGTTTCATTTCCAAGTAACTATGAAACCTATGTTGACCAAATTTGCATGGATGATACATCTAAGGATGCATACTACCGGGCTTGCTTCGGATGCTGAATCTGACCTACATTTTGCGGTTGAGTGAACAGGTTAAAGTTTTTGGTGTAGGTTTCATTTCCAAGTAACTTTTAGCCCTATGTTGACCAAACTTGCATGGATGATACATCTAAGGATGCACACTACCGGGCTTGCTTCGGATGCTGAATCTGACCTACATTTTCCGGTTGAGTGAACAGGTTAAAGTTTTTGGTGTAGGTTTCATTTCCAAGTAACTTTTAGGCCTATGTTGACCAAACTTGCATGGATGATACATCTAAGGATGCACACTACCGGGCTTGCTTCGGATGCTGAATCTGACCTACATTTTCCGGTTGAGTGAACAGGTTAAAGTGTTCATCAAGAGATGAAAATTCTCAAATTTGCTTCAGATGCTGGATTTTGTTTACATTTTCATGAAGAAGAACTAGCTTAAATTGTTTATGTAGGTCTATTTCAAAGTATCAGGTCAAAATTGCTTAAATATTTTCATTTTTGGAATGTACACTTTTTGTTGATTAATTGTGTGACTTTGCCTTACTTAATGACAACATTCGTTGAGGTGAGCTCTGTAATCTCTGATTACCTATGTTTTGACTTGTTAAATACGTATTAATTTAATGTTTAAGATGAGGGAATATCATAGGTGTACTGTAGTTTGTAAAATGGAAGAAAGATTTTTAGTACATGTTTTAATGTTTTTTTTTCTTTAATTTTATCAAAAGATGGAGCAGTCACCATTTCAACTCCCAAACCGCCAGGTAATTAAACAACTTTCATTTAAAAAATATTATTACTTTTAAATAATAATTCACAAATCCATGAATTTTTTTTTGAAAAAATTTTGTAATGTTTATTATAATTTCTTTAAAAACTGTAAAGCTGTAATTTGCTGATTTCACTCTTCATATGCAAATATTTATCATCTATTAATGGGTTTTCATTTTTTTTTTTAATAGATGAATCAGAAAATTCAACTGCATTACCAGGTAAATTTGTGCACATGCATGCACACTTACACACATTGTGAAATCTTTAAATTCTTTAAATACTTTAAATTCATACATATACTTGAAGGTTTATTAAAAAGTTATGCCAAAAATATGTAAAAACTAATTTTTGGAGTACCGGTACTTTTAATTTAAAAAGTACAACATGTACTTGAAGAAGTAGAAATTGCAAAAATCTTTTCATGTAGATTTTGTCTTTATATGTAAATTGATTAGAATACTTGCTTATTTTCAGAATGTGGCTTCAGATGTGACAATAATTTCTGTATTGCTGCTAGTGAACGATGTAATGGTTTTCCCGACTGTCGAAATGGTGAAGACGAAGATAACTGTCCGTCATAACAGTAAACTACGGCCCACTTACCATAAATCACTTTTTATTCATGAGAACTTTATTTTCTCGTAATTACGCAGAACAGTTTGCTGCCTAAAATTTCATTCTTGCTTATAATAGCTTTCCCTGAAATTTTGTAGAGAAAAAGCCACAATTAGTGAAAAATTTTGTCTCGCGGTAATAAAGAGTTGATGGCAATCTTGCGAAAATAAGGTGTCGCGAATATTTAGTGATGTACAGTAATAGTTAGATTTGTCCGAGGGGTGCTAATTAAATAACAGCGTTACCGTACATGTTGATTTGCTAAATGGTTGCTGTTATAAACATTACTAGGTTGTTGTCTCTTATGTATACATATTTATGTGATATTGTACTGTACTTTGATTTTACGATGACAATTCTTTTGATGTACATGTGTATTTTTTTAATCAGCAAAATTTCAAATCATTTTATATTTATATTGCATCTTTGAGATTTAACTGTTCATAGAAGTTGTCTATATTATATTCTTAATTGTTGATTTTTTATATGACATTTGTGCAGTTATTGTCTTTTATATAACCCCATTTTATGCGTTCATGTAATGTTTTTGTAAATAATTGCTTTTTATACATGTACCAGGTATATCAAAATGGCATTTAATTAATAAATTTACATATCATAAATTTGTTAAGAGTTGACAATATTATAAATGCCTTAAGTTCAAAGAATAATAGCTTGATGTATGAAACATTTCCTGTGCCAAACTGTGTGTATTGATGAATGGAAGTTTTAATCAATGTATTTTTGATTTAGGTGAAAAATAAGTGGTGTAAGTAAGGAAATAAAAATGAATTGCATGTAATGTGAAATTATGACTATATCTAAAGATTGGCAATCTAGCAAAGACTTTTAAATAGGTATTTGTGCTATGTATTAAGCTGACAATGCTATATATATGTAAATCTGACACTGCAATATTACATGTACATGCATTTTTGTCATATTTCAATCATGTCATTTTTTTCCTTTCTGAATGATGCATATTTTCAGATATCATATAATCATTTTTTGTAAAAGCCATGACATTACTAGTCACAAATTTGTTACATGTATATTACTTAGACATTTCATTGCTTAGTCAATATTTTTTTGAATTCATCATCGCATCTTCATATTTCAAAAGAGAAATCTCAACATTTAACAAAGTTTGTTTATGAAAAAAATAGAGAGAAAAAAATAATGTCCACTTTAGGTTAAAAATTGATTATCTGTTTTGCTTCACTGATCAGGCATAGATCATAAAAGAAAAAAAACAGACCTCAAAACATTTATTTTATCATATTATGTAATTTTTTTCAAAAAAGGGCTTTTGGAAAATCTTTTTTAAAAGTTTGTTCATCAATGAATGTATAATTTTAAATGTTTGACATACAGTATCGTTGTTGAAATATTATTTATGTCAATAAATTATTTAGAGCAATGTTTGTGGATTTTTCTTCCTCTTCTTTTTTTAAAAACGAAAAGAGTAAGAACTGTCGTTTTAATTTTTCTATGCGAAGAAAGATAACTCTTGCGTATCATTGAAATGGAGTTACTTAATCTTGGCAGACATCGGAGCGCCTCTGATGACATCATGTTCGTAATGCAGATTTAGAGGATATCCGAGCATTGGATTTGCAGAATGGCGGGAATGTGCTGAATATTTGACCATGTTAAATGTCTTTTATTCCTGACACAAGGGACAAGTTATATCGGTACGGTTGCAGATGCTCTGTTAAGAAGTTGTTTGTTTTAATGTAATTTGAGTTTCAAACCATCTTGATACAATTTTAACGTAATTTGATTTTCATTTATGCATACACACTGTGTGTAAATCACACGAATCAGTAAAGAGTTTGTCACGATTTCGGTCTATTTTTCCTCATACGTATTTATAAGGTATTTTATTTGTACAGGTATTTTATAATGTACAGTATATAGGAGGAATAAATACTGAGACAGCAGTGGCTGTTGTTCACGGGCACTAGCTGTTCACAGGGGGTGACTCGAGGTCGTTTACTCTTAATGAAGACTTGATCAGTTGATGTAGGCCTTAATAGAATAAATTAGTTTAATTGATGATGCAAGTTTCTGGTCACAGATAGGCTTTCTATTTCCACCCGGTATGAAGATAAGATTGAAGCTGAACATGATTTGTCAATATGAATGAATTTGTCTGCCACATTTAATTATCTACTAGCTCCCTATATCTGAGAGGCTGCCCCTTTATAAAGTCGTTCACTCAGTCACAGTTCAATTTAATCAGTTGTCACTGGTGTAGATGGACTCATGTTACACGGCACTCAGTAGAGACAAAATAATAAGTGTATTCTTTTGCAACAGGAGCTAGAGAAAGGTGCCTAAAACAGCTGCACAAGTCAGTGGGGCTTACAAACTAACACAAATAAATGCATAACTAAAATATAATGTAAACAAAGGTAAAGTGGGATAATAGCATTGACCAGCAAAAATAGGATCACCATAACACCATTCCACGCCAATACTTAAGCATGACAATAAAGCAATCGTAACGAATCATGCGAATTACAGTATAACCAGTTGGTATAATCAAATATGGCTTATGCCTATTTATGAGTCATGTCCAGCTTCAGTACTTTTATTAGTAGAAAATCTTTTTCAAAACGTGCAGTAATGTTCTGAATGTCAAATTAAGGTTAAGGTAACCTTACATACTCTACTCTCTATGACTGCATGCCTAATCATCAATCATTTGATGAGGTATAAGTACCGGTACAACATGAAGAGTCCTAGCAATGTCTTGGTACCTACAAAATACAGGTATTCCAGAGACTTGGAAGAGGTTTTGATTTACTATCAAGTGGGTAAATTCTTTGGCAGATATGTTTCTAGGAGGATAATTATTTATCTTGTAGAAACATACCTTTTTAAAGGTATGATTGATAAATTTTTTTGGCTAGATCAAGTGATGTATTTTAGCACTCTACATTTCTTTACCTGTCAATTTTCGGTTCATAAGTGCACATCATAAATAACAGCTGAAGTAATTTGTTCCACGAATTTCTGTGTTATCACCCCCAATTTTTTTGACCTGTTGTAAAATTTGTAACAAATGTGCTTCGGGAAATTCAAATTAAACAATGTTGAAAATATTTGTTGCTAAAACATGTAATACGGTTAGAGAAAAAGTTGTATATAATGGTTGTCGATATAAATTTACAACTTGTTTTATATCCATGAATCTCCATGTGTTATCTTGATTTAACAGATTTATGAAAGGTGTGCAAGATTCTCTGAAAAGTGAAACAGTATATCAGAAATGGTGAGAATTAAATATCCTTATCCTGCTCATAAAATCAAAAAAATTTTAAAATTCCCTGTAGTGTTGCTCCATTCGTCATGAATAAGTTTGCCAATTGATTTTGTAGCAGCTATTAATAAACTCAAATACAATAAGATTTTTTTTTTTTTTCAAAATTATGAATTTGTATGACATACTTTTTTTTGAAAGTTCAAATTGGCTAAAACTAGAATCCAACTGGAAAAGAACTTTTTTTTTAAAACTAGAATTTATACAGTAGGAAGTATGTCTGCTAATTTTAATAATTTGTTATTTTAATTTTTTTAATAAGATTGATATTCCCTTGTTTCTTTTGCAATGTAGCCTGGAGAATTGACCTGGGTCATTTGCCAGAGATTATCCACGATTGCCAAGTCGAACATGTAGTACAAACGAAGGAAGAAATCGCATGCACAGAGTCATGATACTAAGTTTACATTCACAATGATAATTTAATTCCTTTACATAGTTAAGCAATTCAAATATATTTTTTGGGGGAAGAAATCGCATGTATAGAGTCATGAATGATACTTTAAGAAATATACCTTTAAAATAATAATTCATTTCCTTCACTGAATTAAAAGATACAGACATGTCAATTACAAAGTCTACTTATAAAATATTTAAAAGGATAATTTATGGGTTGATTAACACCATTAAATTGTTAATATCAAAACATTAAACTCTGATTTGCTGAAAAATCTCATCAGTGCTCAAGCCATATCAATTGTGTATTTAATCTATTTACGGTCTTACGGGCCCTGTGTTCTAGCCGGATTGTTAGACATCTAGATAGATACCATGGTTAAAGACTTGATGAAGTTAAATGTTCTACCAGGCCCCCTTTATTGCTTCACATTTTTAACACTTGGTATATCTGTAATTTTCAGATGGATGCCTGAATAAGAAGTTTAAAAGATAAGCCGTCGGAAGGTATTGTGTCCTGAGCCTAATCTCACGCAGGTAGGTTTACCTGCACACACAGCGACGTTTATGCCGGTCGTTAAGTAATCAGCCAATGGAGATTTAATATTGTTTTATCGGGGAGCTAATTTGAATCGGGAGAAAATAGCATTGGATGGTGCATGGATGACTCTAGTTGTAACATAAAAAAAATTTGATATAAAAACGGGATTTATATATTTCTTTGGGAAAAAAGGTAAGGATTGTCATCTTTAAAAGTAATTGTCATTCACTGCATTGTTAAATGCTACTTATTCATATCTTAAAAAGTTCTTGATTTGACTGTGTCTTAGAAACAGAGAGATAAAGCACTAGTATATACCTGATTTCATCTGGAAGACTTCAGTCACTATCTGTAAAATTTATTCAACTGAATTGTTAATGTGCCAGCTGATGTATTGTAACATAAAACATCCTCGTGTTTTTTATATCATGATTAGTTTCTTATTATAAAAAGTTTTTTTAATCATCAAATTTATATTCCTTACCCATCTAGAAAAAATTTTTACGTATTGATTAAATTACAGAAAAAAAAAAAATGGAAATACAAATGGGCAAAGCTTTTAGCACTTTAAACTATTCTTTCTAAGCTGTTCAGATTAAGAGGCTCATCAGAAATCTAAATGCATATAAACAACATAATCAATATCAACTATTCAAATTTGAGGAAGGGTTTTTTTTTTTCATTTGTTTCATGTTCTTGCTTTATGGATTCAGAAATCTTACTTGAAGCTTTGTTAATTTCCAACATGATAGGTCTGAAAAAAATCTGTAAATTAATTTTTTTGTGATTTCAAAAATGCTAGCAAAAATATTTAACATGGATAGTGTTTGTAGTCAAAACTGGACTTCTAACTTTGAAATGTTGTCACTCATTTATATCCTTTATAGCTATACTTCATTTTCATATAAAGTCTATGGCAGCTAGGTTTCTAAATTTTGTTGGGAGGTATTACTTTTAAGTCATTTGTTAGATGTTCCTGACACTTTATAAGGACATTAAAGTGTGTTTCTGAATAAACTCTCCTAACATAACGTCTGATCGAGTTCTTCAACAAATCCAATAAAAGAAATGTTGTCAAAGAGGAGATTTCAGATCAAAGATAAATTATACCCAACGCTTTATGCGAACTTCAGTCACAGACTTCCATATTAAAAAAATGTTACAGAACACACTTTATTTGCTCATTTGAATAAAAGGGTTTTTATATGGAACTTGGTACTTGAAGGACAGATTCTCTTTGATGTTATTATTTTTCTTTTGGTCACATCTGAAAACAATTTAGAATATTGAAGAACAAGGTTTGCAATTAACAAGGGCATAGATATTTCACAAGATGTAAATATTTGTTAAATCTGTCTCTATATATGACTAATAATTTAGCAGGAGTATTGTATTAGCCAGTCCCTCAATTGATCATATATTATGTCCACCTTCTTTTGTGAAATCCAGTGTTCTTCTTATGCAATTCTTATTTATCTTGCTCAACTAAGACTTGGAGTATTGTACATGATCTCCTAGCTAAACTTGAGTCACAACCAACACCTCTTTAAATGTGCATTGGAAACACCAATGCTTTCATTTCATTAAATGTGATAATATGTACAAACCAAAGAATGAATTTTGCCACTTCCTTGTCAATTTTTTTTGGAGGGGGGTATATTAAGTACATTTTAGTTTATAGGTTAATGTTTCTCCCAGGTTTTATTATTTAAAAGAATGACTTGGATAACAGGTCTGTGCATCGTGGTGTGATTTCAGTTTTGGTGTAAAAAGGTTGTCTCTCGCAAACTCATAAGTTGAGCCAAAAAGTATATTAAAGGATCCTTTTATATCAAGTTTTCTAAATCAGTGGAATTTTTGGGGAGTCTCTCAAGAATACCTAAGACAACTGATGAAATTCAGGTGTATACCCATTCAAAATGATGAAATTCAGGTGTATACCCATTCAAAATGAAAATATCTACGTAAAAAGAAATTTAAATCAAATGTATTCAGAATTCCCTTGTGGAATTTCTATAAGCACCATTTATTGGTCTTTTGTGCAGTCAAGAGTTAGGTGATATGTTTTTGTTCCTTTCTTCTTGAAATTGTCAGAAAATGGTCAAGGATTCTGATATCTGAGGTTGAATTAAGCATTACTAAGCAAAAATCATGAACATTAAATTCCAATCTCGAATGTTAGCTTTATTGATAAACTTGAGTACATGTAAACGTACAGTCATTGAAATCGAAATTGAGATTGATAAACTTGTCCATTTGATAATTATAAAGTGATTTTCAGCACCTGAATTTTAATCTCTCTCTCTCTGTCTCTCTCAGACTAAATTTGATCTAACATCATGATAGTACATGTTTAAATGATAAATTAAGGAAGTTGAATTTCTGACAGTTTAAAAAAAATGAAAATTTTTATTCAGAAATTTTGTCTTTTAGTTATTTTTATGAAGTATGACTTCTTTGAAAGAAATATAAAAATATGCCTATAATTAGATAAATATTGTGAAATATTTGAACAAGATTTAACAAGACAATTCGTAGAAAATGTTTTCAAAATACACTGAAAGAAATTGAGATGACTTCTTAATTTTAAACTGTATTTAAATATTGAATAGTGCATTATTTAACATCTTTAATGAGCATTCAGATAGCTAGAAATTTCCCCCATAAACACTGCACATTAAAAGTACAAAAAAAGGTAATGGAACAAAAAATATATATCGACAGTCAGATAAATTTAGTGCAAAATTTTTATGCAGTTAAAATTTGCCTTGTTGATCTCAAAAGTGCATGACAAATATATGTCATTTGAGATATTCAAGGAATATTGAACAACTTTTACCATTTTTTTTTTGTTTGAGTGTCAGAAAATAAGGTCCGGCTTATCTTTTGAAACAAGCTATACAAATCTGAGAATTGTTTGGAATTAAATATCCACAATAAGAATTTATACAGTTTAAAAAGCTTAGCCATGTTTATCTTTTATCAACAATATGTATGCTGCAGAGTTGTTTTATTAAATGATAATGCCTAAATCCCCTGCATTGAATTGTTCGAGTTCTGCCGATTCCAAATTTGTACTTAAGAAGGAGTTGAATGTTTTTAAAAGTCAAATGTTATCACAAATAGGGAAGAAAAATTATTGATCTAACATTCAAGGGGACTTGTTTTAAGTAAATAACCTGTAGATTATTTTCCCAGCATGTTTCGAATTGCAAGGAAAAATATTTATCCCTAAAATGTAAGGCAACTTTCCGAGTACCTTTTTTAGGGTTTCTTTCAATCGTAGGATCAATGGGACAATGTTTGATCGTCAAGTTACTGAACAAGAGTGTGTCTGATTTGGTTACAAATTCCTTGTTAAAATACCAGCATAACCAAAGGCCGAATGTCTCATCCAGTGAGATAAATTGATTTCAGTTTGATTTTTTTCCGTCCTTTTCGTAAAGTGTCAATGAGGTGAAGAGAACACACCGTCATTGTTTAATGTTTAGACTGCGGGACAGGGGGACTTAAACGGCAGCTACAAATCAGAAAGGGGGGAAATAGTTTGGGAGTCAATATAGAGGGGTACTTGTCGATAAATGAGCTATATATATTTGTGGGAGACATGTTGTCTTCTAACAATGTCAAGGTATTAATTAATCAGGTTCCGACTGTCCACTGTCATTGATGGTATATAATTCCCACAAATGTGTCCTCAAACAAAAAAAAGGTTAAAAGTTTAGTTTACAGGAATTTTTCGACAATCATAAAAGAATTATATATATATTAATATTTTGATCAATAATCGATTGAAAGTTGAATGGATTTTTTTTTTTTTTGAAAAATAGTCATTCATGAATCAATTAACTGTTGCCCCTGTTGCCTTTACAAAAATATTGTAGTGACAGACTGTTAGACTTTTGTTAGGGTACCCACCCAGTTTCTTTATATTCTAGAGGATTGTTCATATTCCAAAGACTGCTTTAAATGTTCATATATCAGTCGTGGATTTTGCTTTGTTAAGAAAAGCTCAGACCCTAGGCACCAACCTGCAGTCTTTAATGTCATCGTTCTATAATACCAAGAATTATTAATCTATTCATCGGGTATTCATCATTTTGGCTTTGTCATCATTTTGAAAGTACGTTAACTGTAATTAGTTTTCTTAAGAACCTGACTTTTATTAATTTATATTTTTTTATAATTAACTCGCTGGACCATAAATTAAGAATCATGGTCCAATGCCATAAGTTTGTAAGAATCTGAGATGTATATAGTTCATTGTGTTTAAAGGGATCAGGAAATTTAATAAGTGTATATTGAACTGCATGGTGTCTTGGTTATCAAAACTGAGGATCTGTATTATGAATTCATAATTACCCAGGCTAACCATTTGATCTGCATAAATCAACCTAAACTAGGATTCCAAAACACATTTTAAATAACTATCAAGTCTAGCTTAGAGATAAATCTTGCAAGAGAATTGGCAATATTTTTAATGCTATACCATATAAATTTTATAAACCATTGAAATACATCTTTCATAAAATAAGTGTGTTTATAAACTTTATATGTACATCTTTGTCCTCAGATGGGTCTGTTTTTGTGAAGTTTGTAACAGGTAGTGGTTGCATGTGTATTAGTTTGGACCGTGGATATCGGCCTGGATGGCTTAGTTGGTATGGCACCTGACAAGAGATGCAGGGGTCCTGGGTTTGATTCCCAGTCCAGCCATGCATTTTCTCCTGTTACAGATTTGGTGCCGTTGACCACCTCTGGTATTGCAGGTGACAGATCTTTCAGGGGCTATGAAGAAATTGAGCTGTGTCTTTGAGGGTAATGACCATTTAAGGTGGGAGGAATGTAATGGTTTGGGCCGTGGACATTGGCCTTGACAGCTAGCTCAGTCTGTACTAGAGATGCAGGGGTCCCAGGATCGATTCCGGTCAAGTCATACATTTCCTCCTTTCTTCTACACTTGCATTGCTGCTAGCATTAGGAGATTTTTTATGTTTGTACATGTATTCAGGTATTTAGCTTTAATGTTACCATGATAAGACCATGATGTGTAATTTTGGATCAGTGCATGAAGCTTTACAGATGAAAACATATTATTGTATGCTTTTACATCTTGTCCCCATTCTTTTAAAAGAGTTTAGGCCAGATTAACTAATTTATCTCCCTTCTTTTTCATTATCAGCTCTGATCAT